AAAAAATAATTCCCAAGGGGGATATAGTACCTTCATCCCAGTCCAAGCCACGCCGACTTGTCCTCGTGCCAGCATTGGCAGCAAGCGACGCAAAACCTAAGGCAAGGGCTTTTTTAACGTTGTACCTGCTTTAGTGTGTTCCCCCTCCTCCTTTGAAACAGTCTAAAAGCTGATTTTGTCTCTCTTGAAACGGTCCCGGGTTTGTTATGTGATGTTAAAAGGGATGCGGCTGTATGAATTTGAACGGAACGCGGGCCGGCAACCAATAGAAAGGCGCGCCGCGCGAAATGTTCAAACGACTCCCGGGGGACTTGACTTAATTGTGGCACCCTAATCGCCCAAACAGTCACACTGCCATGAATCGCCCGCCACCCTAAACCCTAAACCCTAAACCCTAAACCCTAAACCCTAAACCCGAAACCCAAACCCGAAACCCCAACCCAAAACCCTAAATTCCAAACCCCAAACAAGATAGTTTTTTGGCGTGGGGCCCCACAACTGGGGTAGACTTCGCGGGGTTTGGGGGGGGGGGGTGCGGGTTGGGGGGGGGGGTGCGGGTGTTGGGGGGGGGTGCGGGTGGGTGGGGGGGGGAGGGGGGAGGGGGGAAGGGGTGGGGGGGGGGGGGTTCTATGCATGGGTTACATGGGATTGAACAAGGGCCGAAAGCCCCTCAATGAGAGAGCCCATGCTTCTGTGCTTCTTAGGGTGTGTAGAGTTTTGGGGTTGCTATAGGGCCTTCTGTTTTAGATGTTGTTTTTTTTTGTTGGGTGTATAGAGCTTTTAGGGCTTTTAGGGTGAACCCGAAACTGAAGTGTCTATGCTTCTGGGGCTTTAGACTATGTCCCCTTTTGGTTCCGCAGCTATAAGGGGCCCCATGCTGAACTGACGCGCAATCCCACTGACACTACACCCTAACCTAAACCCTAAACCCTAAACCCTAAACTCTAAACCCTCAACCGTGAAATCGTCTAGGGACTGAAACCTTTAACACGTCTGACACCATAGGGGACTCACTAGCTGGCTTCTTGCGCTTAATTGGGGTTTGCGGTTTTAAGGTTCAAGGAAAAACCTATATCCAGAGCTTAAGACTCGTACCCCTAAGGTTGTACCCCTCAAGGTTCCGAATACCCAAATCTACCTACTGAGAACAAATCACGGGATCTCGCCTCACAGTTGCTGGAAGTGCCCCACTTGTATGTAGCTTGGAAGTGGGATTTGGGGTTTAGGGTAAAGGGCTTGGGGGTGTAGGGTTTAGGGTTTAGGGTTTAGGGTTTAGGGTCTGGGGTCTAGGGTTCAGGGTGAGGGTGTGGGGTTGGCACCTTCCCACACCATCCGGTGCCGATAGCAAGTAGGATCCGATGATGTTGCGGGAACCCAGAGGCTAAACCAAACTACCCTAAACCCTAAACCCTACACCCTAAACCCTCAACCCTAAACTCTAAGCAGCCAAACCCCAGGAGAAGGGCACAAGGTCTTACAGAAGGTAGGGGTTCAGGAATGGCGACACACACACACACACACTAAACCTTGAGCTGTGGTCTTTCAATGTGCATTCGGAGTCTACACCTAAACCCTAATTCCAAGGCCGAGCCCTAAACCCTTCGAAGACCTCAAACCACTGAACCTTAAAGACTTCAAGTGACCTCAAGCCCTACAGTAAACCCCAGAAAGTTGGAGCATGGCTTAAGGACGATTAGAGCTGAAAACTCCCTTCAGTATACCTTTCTTGGGCTATGGGGGTAAGGTTGCTCCAACTTGTTGGAGTTTGCTGTAAACCCTAAACAACAACACAAACGCTCACATCATGTCCTGGGCTTCCGCGCATGCTTGCGCGGCACGTCGGGCCCGCTCGTTTGCGCGGGGGAGTTGGGTTGGGGGAATCCTGCGGGCGTTCCCTGGCTCTAGGGTTGGTATAAGGGCTGGAGAGGTATGGGAGAAAGAGACCTGAGCTCTTGAAGTCTGGCTTTGGGGGGCTTGGAGTCGTTCAGGGCTTAGATAGGCTGTGTTTAAGGCTTCTAGAGCTTAATTACGGGCTTAAGGGAACCTAGCCCTAAACCCTAAACCCTAAACCCTATATGGGCTATACAGGTGCTAAGGCGTAGGTGGAACAACAAAACCATGAACGAACTCTGAAGCCACGCACTGCGGAGCAGGATGAAAAGGCGAGGAGTCCCAAAGCCCTAAGGGTTTAGGGTTTAGGGTTTAGGGTTTAGGGTTTAGGGTTTAGGGATTCCGGATGATTCGGGTTTAGGGTGTAGGAGTTAGGGTTTAGGGCTTCGGGTTTAGGATTTAGGGACAGCCGGCTTGCCTGAAGAACCCAACCTACTTTGTAGGATTCTACTACAACAACAACCCTTAAAGAAATCCTTCAGCAACCTTCAAAAAGGTGCTTTAGGGTTTTACTTTAGGGCTTAGGGTTTTGTTATCCTCAGCAACCTGCAAAAAAGGTGGTCTAGGGTTTCACTGTAGGTTTTCGGGGTTTGTTACCTGAACCACTCTTCCCTGAGTCCTGCTAAACCCCCCCAATCACCCTACGAGGGCTTAAGACTTATAGGGTTCTTAGTAGGGTTGAGGGTTTGGGGATATGGGTTACCAGGAAGCCTGGGAATAAAAGGGGTGCCTGTAAGGTAGCTTAAACTGGGCTACCCAACCCGAACTTCTTTTTGCGAGCGTCTCTGCACGTGACGCACGCTTCGCTGCAACGACATGATCTCTTGGCAAGCCCTCTGCTCAAGCCATGTGCTTCAGAGCATGGGGGCTTTCGCTTCTGAACCCTAAACCCTAAAGACTAAACCCTAAACCCTAAACCCTAGAAGTAGGTGATCTGTCAGGACTTTCATATCGGTCTAAGGTTAAACGGATAAATCTTGGAGTTCTTCAACTCCGATGGACATGCACGTTGCTGGCTACATCAGCTCTGGTTGTGCAACGCCTCGTCTTCTTTCTCCTTCCTTGGGTTACGGGCTTAGGGTTTCGTCTTTGGGGCCCCTTGAGTAGCGTTTGGTTTGGGTGAAGACTTTACAGCGTAAAACCTAAAGCCTAAATCTCCTAAACCCTAAACTGTGTGAAGGCACGTGAGTCTGAGAAACTCTGCGCTTGCCACGACTGACGACAAGGAGAACCCTCACAAAACCTGCTGAGTAAAAAGCCGTGGGCTCAAATCTTCACCCTCAACCCTAAACCCTCAGCCCTAAACCCTAAACCCCCACAAGCCCGAAGCACATGAAGGCCACCCTGTCCCGGGAAGAGGCCTGGCTGAACCCATTGGTGGGGTGGACTTGGGGGGGAGGGCGGGGATGCTGCATAGGAGGTCTACAGAGAAATAGATATAACTCCACATTATACCCTAAACATTAAGCCTAAACCCTCAACTCTAAACCCTAAACCAAAATCGCACCCAGATTGCCCACGTGATTCACACAGGACGGCCCAAAGAAGGTTGAGAGGGTTACTTTGTTGAGGGTTTAGGGTTTATGACTTCGGGTTATAACCGTTATGACACATTGTACCGACTTCTTGCGCCAGCTCGTTGTGCCACCCGCTCCCGAAAGGTTTAGGGCTTAAGGTCTCGAACCCCTAGGAGGTACAGCTTTGGCACTCTATCGGCGTCGCGGAACCGCGTGAGGAAACCTACACCCGGGTTCCCTAAAGCCTTGCAGTCCTGGAGGGGGCAAAAGCTCGGGGAAGCTAAGCCCGTAACTCGAATGCCCTAAGCCCTAAATCCGAAGCCCAACATCCCAAGATCCCAAAGCTTGCACCACAAACGCCCCAAACCCTAAACCCTAAACCCTACACCCGAAACCCCTAAACCTCCTAAGCCCTAAACCCTATCTAAACCCTAAACCCTAAGCCCCTAAACCTCCTAAACCCTAAACCCTAAACCGTAAACCCCAGACAACACCAAGGCTGGGGCCGGGTCCGCGGGCGCGCCCCACGGAGTGAGGGAGCCGAAAGAAGGCGGTCCTTGAGAGGTTTCAAAACTTAGGGACAAGGGATGCAGGGTTCAGGGTTTAGGGTGTAGGGTTTAGTGTTTAGGGTTTAGGTAGGGTTTTGGGTTCAATATATATATATATATATATGTATATGTAAGGTTCAGGTTTTGCTGTAATATGGCAGATGCTGTGAAGGCTGGGATGCGGAATAAGCTCGAAAGCTTCGTCAGGTGCGAAGAGCAGCTCTGGCCCGAGTGCGGAGGGCCACTTAACACGTTCTCCCACCCCACGCCGTCCAAGGGCAAAGCCACCCAAACCCTTTCGTTTTAAGGTTTGAGCCTATAAACTCAATTTCTTGCAGAGTTTTTCCTGACCTCACTAAAGCAAACGATCAAGATGAAGGGGCGTCCAAGGGGCCCAAAGGCGTACAAAGCCCCAACCAAAGCCAAAACGGCCGACCAGACTGGCCAGAGGCATTCTGGTCACGAGGAACGTTGCGTGAGGGACCGGGACTTGGCCCTGGGGTTTAGGGCTTAGGGCTTAGGGCTTAGGGCTTAGGATTTAGGGTTTAGGGTTTAGGGTTTAGCTTAAGCGCCCCCCCCCCCTCTCACTGTCGGGGGGCGGGCTAAGCCTCACCCTTGAGTTAATAACCCTTGAGTTAAAGGCTTCTGAGCTTTGGGATACTTGAAAACATGATGGCATTGTGGCCTGAGTGTGTGTACTTGTTTAGGTGCATGGACCTGTAGGGGCAATTGAAGACGCAGCCCAAACCTTAAGTAAACCTCGACCCCTTCTGTGGGGGCGCCAAGAAAGGCTGACACCCGTGTTCTTGTTGTCCTCTTAAAAAAACCGGGTTTAAGGTCTAGGGTTTTGGGATTTGGGTTTAGGGTTTGGGACGGCTTAGGGCTTCAAGGTTCACAGGCATTCAGGGTGCAGGGTATAGTTTAACTTTCAGAGCTCATAAAGTTTGTAGAACCCAAAGACCCCGAGCCCAAAAATCCTAAACCCTAAACGCTAAACCCTAAACCCAAGATCCCTCCAACGGTGGGGCGCCTTGAGACAAGCGGCTACGAACCTCCGATCCCGCCGCCAGCGTACCTGGCAAGGCTTTGATACTTCGGCCTGTTGGGGATTTGGATTCCGGGTTAGGGTTTAGGGTTTAGGGTTTAGGGTTTAGGGTTTAGGGTTTAGGGTTTAGGGTTTAGGGTTTAGGGTTTAGGGTTTAGGGTTTAGGGTTTAGGTTTAAGGGTTTAGGGTTTAGGGTTTAGGGTTTAGGGTTTAGGGTTTAGGGTTTAGGGTTTAGGGTTTAGGGTTTAGGGTTTAGGGTTTAGGGTTTAGGGTTTAGGGTTTAGGGTTTAGGGTTTAGGGTTTAGGGTTTAGTGTTTAGGGTTTCTGGTTTACGGTTTACGGTTCAGGGTATTAGGGCTTGGGGTTTAGGGGGACCCTTCGCCCCGAAAGGCCCCTAAACCCTACAGCCCGACTCTTTGGGGGCACTGGTGCACTGCAGCTTTCAACTCGCTGAGCATCCTCGCCGGCAGCAGAGCGCCCGTTAGGAGCCCGAAAGCCTAAACCCTAAACCCTAAACCCTAAACCTTAAACCCTAAACCTCTTAGGGTAGCTTCATTGTCCCTTAGTATGGGCCCTTAGATGGGGACCCCTACCCAAGGGCCCATGCATCAGAAGCCTTTAAACAGGGTAAGGGACCATGTTAAACTACCTTTAGAAAACTCTAAACCCTAATCCCCCAAACCCTAAACCTGAACCGTAAATCCTGAACCCTAAACCCTAAACCCTAAACCCTAAACCCCTCAAGATCATTCTCTTTGGACGTCGGGTCCGTGCTTGAGTTCGGGTTTAAAGTTTGGTGATGTGGAGCTTGAGAACCTTCCCAGGCCGGTGCACAAGCTCCCTTCAACACAAAGGCGGCGATGGTGAAGGTTTAGGGTTTAGGGTTTAGGGTTTAGGGTTTGGGGTTTGGGGTTTGGGGTTTGGGGTTTGGGGTTTGGGGTTTGGGGTTTGGGGTTTGGGGTTTGGGGTTTGGGGTTTGGGGTTTGGGGTTTAGGGTTTTAGGGCTTTAGGCTTTAGGGCTTTATGGTTTTGGGTTCTAGGGTTTACGGTTTAGGGTGAGCACTCCAAATCTTCATAGGCGCAAGGCAGTACTGACGGTCGATTGCGTGAAGTGTTCAAAGACAAATGGTAATGTTTCGGGAGGTCTATACCTACAGGTTAGGGTCTTTATTCAGTGCTGGAGACTGGTACCTGAAATTTGTGTCCAAGGTTTTCCTATATTGATACCTAAAAGGATATTTTTTGCGCAGGGCTACACCCTGAATCTGAAACCTTGCACCCTATTAAACCCTTTGAGGCAATCAGCATGTCGGAATACGACCGGGCTTTGATCTGAGGTCTTTCGGAAACTAACCGAACCCCCCCCCCCCCCCCCCCGCAGAATCCCAAACCCTAAACCCCCTAAACCCTAAACCCTAAACCCTAAACCCTAAACCCTAAACCCTAAACCCTAAACCCGAAGAATCCGTAAAGGCAACTCCGCACCCTAAACCCTACAACCCGCAGACTGTCTGGCAGCTGATCACAACAAACTCTTCCCAAGATGATGCCAGCGTAGACCCCAAACGCGCGGTTTAGGATGTTGCGTTTCGAGTTTAGGGTTTAGGTTTAGGGTTTAGGGTTTAAGTTCCAATGGATGAAGGCTCAACAAGACACCAAGGGCCCACAAGCCAAAAAGTGGGGGGGCAGCTTCGAGGACAGCAAGCGCGGCCGCGCCTGCGCCTAGGGTTTAGGGTTTAGGGTTTAGGGTTTAGGGTTTAGGGTTTAGGGTTTAGGGTTTAGGGTTTAGGGTTTAGGGTTTAGGGTTTAGGGTTTAGGGTTTAGGGTTTAGGGTTTAGAGCGAGATTTTCGCCCCAAATGCGGGCGCCGACCTGCGCGGGCCGCGAAGCCCACTCGATCTAGCCCCCCCTTACCCGTGACGTTAGAACCCCTTATAAGTGTTGACACAGTGTTTACAAGGAATAGCCCTATACCTCTTTTTGAAACACATGCTTGTTTCTCATAGCTCAACCCCCAGAGGGGACTTTCCGACACTACGGGTACCTTATTAGGGTTCGTATAATAAGGGAATCCAACTGTTTGGGTGGACTATATTGGGGGTTCCGTATTTTCGTAAACTCCTCCACCCAAAACCCTAAACCCTTGACCCGAAACCCTGAACCCTAAACCCTAAACCCTAAACCCTAAACCCTAAACCCTAAACCCTAACAGATGTTCCAGCTCCTGGCCAAGTCAACGACGTCCCGCTCCAGGCCCGCGTTCTCCGCCCTGAGCCGCTCCGACTCGCGCTGGGCCTCGTTGAGGTTAGGGTTTAGGGTTTAGGGTTTAGGGTTTAGGGTTGAGGGTTGAGGGTTGAGGGTTGAGGGTTGAGGGTTTAGTGCCAGCACCGAGGTACGTCGCAACAAAGAACTCAGGTACTTTTGGGGTCTAGGGGTTTTAGGGTTTTTAGGGCTTGCGGGTTCAGGTTTAGGCAAAAAATAGGGTTCGGGCATGTAAGGTGTGGGGTCTGGAAAAGGGTAATTTGACGTGCAAAAAGCAGATCCGGCCTCGGCAGCCTTGCTTTGCAGGGCAGCCTTGAGCGATTAGAAGAGGGGCTAGGGCTTAGGAAGGTTTAGAACCCTAAACCCTAAACCCTAAACCCTAAACCCTAAACCCTAAACCCTAAACCCTAAACCCTAAACCCTAAACCCTAAACCCTAAACCCTAAACCCCAAGGCGTCGGAGGACCTCAGGAATGGGAATGTAGGTTTGTGTTGGGGGGGAGGGGGGGGGGGTCATGGGCTTCAGCGTCTGTAATAGGGACATGGTGCTATAGGGAAGCAAAGGTTTAGGGATTCGGGTACAAAGCGTAGGGGCTTTGGGATAGGTTTTAGGACCTTCGGGGTGTTGAGGGTTTAGGGGTTACTCTATGGTGCCTTGGTGGAGTTCAGGCTTCTGGTGGAGGTTAGAAGGTTTGGGGTTTAGGGCTTTTCTGTTCCTGAATCCTACCTACAAGCAGCGTAAGCTAAAATCTGCCTGTGCTTCCAGTACATGCACATATACTTGCTAGACCTAGGAGTAACTTAGGAGTAAGAAGGGTGCCGTTTTTTTCGATTAAAGGGGCTGATAAGGGAACCTAAACCCTCAAAAAAGGAATGAGGGCCTGCCCTGGGTCCTCGACGACTTGATTCGTTTGGCTATCCTGAGGCAGAAGCGCCCCCCACAGCCGCATCCCAATTCCCAAGTTTCAGGTCAGACTCCCGAAGCACTAAACCCTAACCCCGAACCCCTAAACCCTAGATGCTAGACCCTAAACCCTAAACCCTAAACCCTAAACCCTAAACCCTAAACCCTAAACCCTAAACCCTAAACCCTAAACCCTAAACCCTAAACCCTAAACCCCAAACTCTACGATCTCGGAGCCGGCCTCAGCCTTGGCTGCATCGGCACTTCCGGCTGTTGCAGCAGCTTGCTTGTCGGCCTCTTGCACTTTGTGCTTTTTGATCGTTCGGGTTTAGGGTTTAGGGTTTAGGGTTTAGGGTTTAGGGTTTAGGGTTTAGGGTGTAGGTTGTAGGGTGTAGGGTTTAGGGCTTAGCGCGTGGGATGCTCCCCCTTATACTATCCGTCCTTAATTGGGGTTATAGTCGGGGTACTATACTCGCTATGGAGGACTGTTAGTAATTATAAGGAGGAACGTCCTAAGTTGTGGCTCACTCTTCAGTTCGAGACATGCAAAGCAGGTGGTTTAGAGCGTCGGACTCGGGGCCGTTCTTAAGGTAGTTGCGGTAGTTGCATGGTCCGTTAATATGGGCACTTGAAAGGGGACCCCTTTTCTACCCCTTAGGCCTATACGTCAGACGGAACCCTTTAAGGAATGTAAGTGACCACATTAAGAGCCCATGGAACTACCCTAAGAGTTTTAGGGCTTCAAGGGCACTAGGGCTTTCGGATCATCAGGGTTCCAGGGTTCGCCTCCGCTCCCGGGGTTAGGATTTGGGGCTTACGGGGTTTAGGGTTTATAGGGTTTAGGGTCTATAGGGCTTAAAAAGGGTTTACAGGGTTTGTAGAGCTTCTAGGGCTTCTAGGGTTTAAGGTTTAAGCCAGGTTGTGCAAAACAAACTGGCGGGTATACCCCGCTTCATGCCCTGCCCCTTACATGAACCCCAGATTCCCCCCCCTCCCCCCCCAAATACATTCTAGACATATACTAGACCCGGGAGTAACGTAGGAATGAAAAGGGTAGCCTTTTTGGTTTTGGGGGTTTCCTTGGGAACCCCAACCCCTAAAAAAAGGAAAAAAGGGAGTACTCCCCGTCCTAGTATAGGAGGTGCTGTGTCGTAGCTGCTTAGGCGCTAAAGAAAGGGCCCCCCAAACAGGGGGGGTCAGGCGGAGGGGCCTCCAACTCGGCACATCTCTGCTGAGCCGTGCCCAAAGCCTGAGGGCTTAGGATTTAGGGGTGTAGGGGTTGTAAGGCTTAAGGTTTAAGCGGTGTAAGGTTTAAGGCTTAGGGCTTAGAGGCACAATGAACTGAAGCATTCAAAGCAACTACAGCTTTGGGGCCTAGCATGCCGCATCATTCTGTAGCCCTTCTGGGCAGTGAATCCCAACCTCCCAACGCTTCAGCTACCACGATTCGGGAAGGCGAAGGGATTAGGGATTGCAGGACGCTATCCCAAGGCGTGAGTCTGCAACGAAAACAAAGGTTCCGTGCTGAGTTTTCAGACGACCGGGCGTCGGCTCTAGCAGTACAAGGGCCGTGCGACACATTCGACGTATTCTGGCTGTGCGTCGCTTCTTGAAGGGATGCAACTTAACCCTAGATGAGATTTTGTCGGATAATTAGGAGGCTCAGGGCATAGAGTTTTAGCCTTCCCACCTCCTCCAGTCAACCCACAAGGACCGTGTACATAAACTTACATTGCACAAGACATAAGCTTCTTTGTAGAATTCAAGGTCCAGGGTTTAGGATCCATATTCTAAGCGAGAGGGATTCTTGCTCCTGGCGTATCTGCGCTCCCTGGCTTGAGCCTTGTAGCAGCTACACCAGCCAAGCCAGGCACATTGCGGAACTTCGCGGCCTTTACCAAAGGTGCTTTGGGGGTAGGTCAAACCGAAACCCAAAACCCTTAAAAACCATAACTTCCCTTTCCCAGTCACCTGCACACAACCAAACAAAAAAGATATAACACAACACCTGCTGGAAGCCCACTGCAAACCCTGGACCCTACCACCTTTCCCGCCGCCTCCTCGTGAGCCCTTAGCTTCTCCAGGAGCTGCAGCTTGTCGGACTGAAGGGGGCATGAGTATAAATGAATAAGCAAATAGTAATTAATTAAGTAAGTAATTCATTAAATAACTTATTAATTAATTCATATATGCATATATGTGATCCCGGGGCCCCCCGCCCCCACCTGAAACCTAAACCAGCTTGCTCGCCCAAGACCCTCATTGTAGCTGACCGTGTCGCCTTTGGAGTAGACAAGGGCGACGGCGTTTTGCATCGTCAAGAGGGGCTAAGGGCTGCCCGCACTTGGTGGAAGTGCTTCGCGTCTAGTTTCAGGTTGTTCGGGCTTGGGGTTTTGGGGTTTAGGGCTTCAGGGTTTACATTTGGTAGGGGGGAGGAGCTAGAGTTATCAAATCACCAGAAAACATTAGACTCATTACATCCAAAGCAATATCATTGCTGTCCTAAGAGTCCGGACCGTACGAACATACCAATCAAAGACCCTTGGCAAAGCCCCGATTTTCACGCATTCCCCTCAGCCCTTAACCCCAAACCCCACACCCTAAACCCAAAACCCCGAACCCTAACCCCTGAGCCCTAAACCCCAAACCCTAATCCCATACCCCAAACCCTAAACCCTAATTCAACCCCAAACACTAAACTCCAAAACCCTATAAACCCTAAACCCGAAACTCCAAAACACAAACCCTGAACCCCAAGCCTTATACTCCAAAACCCAAACCCCAAAACCCTGAAAGACACCTATACAAAACCTACACACCTATTCAAAACCGTAAAAACAAAAAAACCGAAAAAACGCTTCACACGCCCTATAGAAACCCTATAAACAAACCGTAAAAAAAAAACTGTCAGAAACCTACAAAAACCGCCATAAACACCCTATAAACCCTACAACCTTACCCCCCCCCCCCCACCCCAAAAAACAAAAGAACAACTACAAAACAAGAAAAAACAAAAAACCCAAACCCTAAACCCTAACCCGAAACCCGAAACCCTAAACCCTAAACCCTAAACCCTAAACCCTAAACCCTAAACCCTAAACCCTAAACCCTAAACCCTAAACCCTAAACCCTAACCCTAAACCCTAAACCCCCCCAAAAAGGGGCCTCCAAGTCGGCGCAGCGCTTCTCGGACGCCCGAAGCTGCCCCTGCAGCTGCTCGGCAACCTGTGGCCGGCAGCATCGAAGGTCGGAAACCATGGGCCCCTTTGTGTGTGGGTTTAGGGCCAAGTTTAGGGTTTAGGGTTTAGGGTTTAGGGTTTAGGGTTTAGGGTTTAGGGTTTAGGTCTGAGTCTCGGGGCTAGGGTTTACGGTTCAGGTCGGATCCATAGGCCCTTTGTGTGGTTCCTTACCCCTGTTCATAGGGATCCGCAGTGTGGCCCTCCTTGAATCATAGTGTACATATAAGGATTGTACCACAAGGGACACAAATGAAGGGCCCATACTTCGGATCCCCCTACAGTAGCAAGCAAGAAACAATGGATGAGGAGTTTAGGGTTTAGGGCTTCAGGGGTTTTAGGGCTTGTGGGGGTTTAGGGTTTGAGGGAGCGCAAGGCTGGCGGGAGTTTTAGGGGTTAGGGTTTGAGAGGGTTCAGGGTTTAGGGCTTCAGGGTGTTCAGCGTGTACGAGTTAAGGTTCGTCGTCGGTGCTGCTAGCGCTGCTGGAGCTTGATGTGACGTCGGAGCCCCGCGGCGATCTCGTGCCTCAGGGGTAAGGTCTAGGTGCTGGATTGTGAGGATCGGAGCCAAGCATTGAGCCAGGGAGTGGTGCTCCGAAGTCCCGGGCGTCATCGCTTGCGGTGGGCACATTCCTCAGGTGGACGTATGACTAAACCTCAAACCCCAAATCCCAAACCCGAAACCCCAGACCCTAAACCCTAAACCCCAAACCCCAAATCCTAAACCCTAAACTTAAACCCTAAACCATTCAGGCAGGGTTTAGAGTAGATCCGGGCAAGGTGCTGCGTCCTTCTGAGATTCTGGCATGATCTGCAGACTTCCTCAAGTAAAGCACACACGGGAAGTTCCTCCAAGACAGAGAGACCCCCTAGCTTTCTGACATACCCCCCAGGCATCCCAGGAGTCCTTACTCTAGGACCAAGAGGGTTTAGGGTTTAGGGTTTAGGGCTTAGGGCTTAGGGTTTAGGGTTTAGGGTTTAGGGTTTAGGGCTTTCGGTCCCCACCCCCACGCCCCTCACCCCCCCCCCCCAGCCCCGCAACCGCAAATCTGTGCTTTCTTCAGATGACTGAAACAAAGCAGACAAGCCGCCTGGGCCCCTAAACCCTCAACCCCAAGACGCCCTAGACGCCCGAAGCCCTGACTAAGCTCCATTTGCCCTTAACCCAAACCCTAAACCCCAAACCCCAAACCCCAAACCCTAAACCCTAAACCCTAAACCCCCCAAACCCCTAAACCCTGGGCCTGGTTGCCGGAGACCTGTGCTGTTTGGTGCGTGGCGACCTGCTTCTCTTACTTGTAGAGTTGTTAGGGCTTACAAGAGCATTTAAGGTTGGGAATTTTAGAGATTTTAGGGCTGTTTGGGCTGAAAGTTTTAGGCGGTTGTTTGTCGGAACTTGAGGGATTTTCAGGGTTCAGGGTCGCCATTTTTGTGGTGTCCGAAGTGGGAGGAACCACACTCTCAACTGCGCCCAGCAGGGGAAACAGTGCTGGAACAACCAGCAAACTCTGATCCTGGGAGTCCTAAACCTTATAAACCAACCCTAAACCCTAAACCCTAAATTCTGAACCCTAAGCCCCAAAACCCCCGGCATGAAGGGCCTCAACCTTTTCCTCGGCCCAAGAGTAACTTTGGAATAACAAGGGTGCTCCTTTTTTGGTTTATATGGGGGGGTAGTTTTTAAGGGTGTAGGGTTTAGGTGTTAGGGCGACCCAAGAGTAGCCTAGGAATAAAAAGGGTGCCCTTCTTGGTTCAAATTGGCTTTTTGGGGAATCTAAACCCCAAAAAAAGGGAAATTGGGGCCACTGTGGGTCCCAGTCTTCGGAGAGAACAGTTTTGGGTTTAGGGTGAAGGACGTGCGAATTGACGCGGTGCATGAGCGTAGGGAATGACTTGGCAGGGCCAACTCTTGAACCAACCCTGGGCCGCAAGCCCTGAGCACTACTGGGAGGTTCATGGTACTTATTTACCAATTGTCGCTGTACTTATAACTGTCCTTGTAATCTTGCAGGGGCTTTTAAGCGGGTTATAAGTACAGTTATAATTGGTTAATAAGTACCATGAACCCCAAAGTATAAACCCGCTCCGCCAGAATCCTTGCAGTCCAGGGTGTTGGTGGTTGTCGGGGCGACGGGCCACACTCAGGGTGCAACCTCCTAGCTGGTTTCTCAAGGTCCTGCTTAAGCTGTTGTGGTGTCGTTGCTTCCGGTTCTGCGACAGGTGTTCGACTGCCCGAAAAGATTTGCATGGTCTGCACGGCGCCATATCACAGGACTGAAGCTGCTTAAGGTCCAACACGATTTGCCATCGACCGTGGAACATGGTCAGGTCCACCGCTGGTTTGTCAGAGTGAGTGGGTGGCTTGTGGCCAGATAATCGAGGGGGCTCAGGGTCGAGAGCTTTTCGCTGGGCCTCCCCGAACACTTACGAGTTCTCCTGACCGCACTCCCCAATTCCAGATTCCCTAGCACACACTACGAACCGTAAACCCGAAACCCAACAAGCTCACCAAAACCTTGACGTGGACCCACCTGCGTATACCCCATCTTCAAACAAAATGCTTAATTTCACCCCCCCCTACCCCTCCCTCCCCCCAAAAAAATCGAAGGGCTATTTTGGGAACCCCCCGCCCCCCCAATCCCCGGCCCTGAAACCCTACACCCTAAACCCTAAACCCTCAACCCCTATGCCTGCTCCCTCGCCGCCGCAAGCTGGGCTTCGAGATCCGAAGACTTGGCCTACATGCGGTCTCCGCTGGCTCAAAGTTTAAGGGTTTAGGGTTTAGGGTTTAGGGTGCAGGGTTTGGAGGATACATGCTGTGTATACTATAGTATGAGATTACGCAACTTACCAACATATAAGATACTTGATACTGAAAGGTACTATAGCAAACTCAAGCTCAGAGAGCAAGTGCACACTGAAAGGTACTATAATCGAATATACTACGATATGATGTATGCTGTATGCCTTATACTACATGTTACTATATACGATGTGTGTATATATGTACAAGGCTGTTTATATGCTATATATATATATATATATATATGCTCTCTCTCTCTCTATATATATATAGATATAGAGGATATGTTTGGGTTTGCAGCGTTTACAGGGTATATAGGGTTTATGAGTATTTAGAGGCTTCGCAAGGTTTATAGGCTACTGAAAGGGCCTATTTGGTGTACAGGTCTGTGGGGTTTATGGTGCTTACAGGACTTTCGGGATTTTGAGAGGCTTTCTAGGCCAGGACTGGCAGGGTTTAGCCAGGATGTCAGGATGATTCGAGGGAGAGGTGTGCTTAGGGCTTGGCGTGCGAGGGGGTGGGGCGCTCGCTGTTATTCTCAAAAAGGGCCCAACAATTTGCCGTAAACAATCCCCTATATGAGCCCTGAAGCCTATACCCCAAACCCTAAACACTAAACGCTGAAACCCCAAACCCTAAACCCTAAACCCTGGTGAACCCGCACGGCTCCAGCCTGTAAGGCCTGCTCTTTGTCATCCCGACGCCGGCTTTCGGATTGCGCCTCATGGGTCCGAGTTTGCTTTGGGTTTTGCTTCGTCCCGGTCCCCAAGTGCCCCCCCTGAGAAAGACAAAGCTTTCAAGGTGTTTAGGGTTTAGGGTTTAGGGTTTAGGGTTTAGGGTTTAGCGTTTAGGGTTTAGGGTTTCAACCCTAAACCCTAAACGCTAAACCCTGAACCCTAAACCCTAAACCCTAAACCCTAAACCCTAATGTAGGGGGTGAAGTAAATACTTGGAGACCTTGGGTTAAGCACCCATTGACCCCGACACCCTCAAAACTCTGAACCCTGAAACTCAGACCGGACATGATCCCGTTTATAAACTCCACCACTATAGATAGAATCTTCGGCTACCTAAGCCGGGAACCCGAAACCTAAGCATAAGGAGTTTTTTGGGCCCCGTTTACAGAAAATCCTGCGCCCCAAGCATCCTAAAATGACTGAACCTTCAACCCCAAAACCCAAAACCCAACCCTTACCCCTAGAAGCCCTCGACCGCCAACCCCTAAATGGAACCCCAAAGGCCCGAAAACTTCTAAACCTAGACCCAAGAGTAACCTAGGAATGAAGCAGGATACACTTTTGAAGGGAGGCTCAACCCAAAACCCAAAACCCAAAACCCTAAACCCAAAACCCTAAACCCTAAACCCTAAACCCAAAACCCTAAACCCTAAACCCTAAACCCTAAAGACAAGGGAATAAGGGCAACTAGAAACCGCAGCTTCCATCGCCTCATCCCTGGCCGCTGCAAGCTGAGCTTCGAGGTCGGAAATCCGGCCCTGGTTTAGGGTTTAGGGTTTAGGGTTTAGGGCTTAGGGTTTAGGGTTTAGGGTTTAGGGTTTAGGGTTTAGGGTTTAGGGTTTCGGGTTAGGGGGTTTAGGGGGTTTAGGGGGTTTAGGGGGTTTAGGGGGTTTAGGGGGTTTAGGGGGTTTAGGGGGTTTAGGGGGTTTAGGGGGTTTAGGGGGTTTAGGGGGTTTAGGGGGTTTAGGGGGTTTAGGGGGTTTAGGGGGTTTATTTAGGGGGTTTAGGGGGTTTAGGGGGTTTAGGGGGTTTAGGGGGGTTTAGGGGGTTTAGGGGGTTTAGGGGGGGGTTTAGGGGGTTTAGGGGGTTTAGGGGGTTTAGGGGGTTTAGGGGGTTTTTAGGGGGTTTTAGGGGGTTTAGGGGGTTTAGGGGGGTTTAGGGGTGTTAGGGAGTTTAGGGGGTTTAGGGGTGTTTAGGAGGTTTAGGGGGTTTAGGGGGTTTAGGTGGTTTAGGGGGTTTAGGGGGTTTAGGGGGTTTAGGGGGTTTAGGGGGTTTAGGGGGTTTAAGGGGTTTAGGGGGTTTAGGGGGTTTAGGGGGTTTAGGGGGTTTAGAGGGTTTGGGGTTTGGGTTATAGGGTTTGGGGTTTGGGGTTTAGGTTTTAGGGTTTCGGGTTTAGGGTCTAGGGTCTAGGGTTTAGGGTTTAGGGTTTCGGGGGGCTTTGGGGGGGATGGCGGGCTTTGGGGGGGTTTGAGACGAGGAGTGTATACAAGGCTGTTGTGTGGGCTTGAGGGCCTTGCGGTGTAACATAGGGGGTTTAGGGTTTAGTTTCGGGTCTAGGCGACTGAGTGGGACCAAAATGTCGCAGCACAACGTTCCCTGGAATGTGAACTTACACACACCCACACCCACACCCACACGCACACGCGCAAATATCGTAAAATGTCAGTATATAACTCTCAACCCTGTAAACCCTACGCGAGGAAGAGAAAGAGAGAGAGAGAGAGGGGCTTAAGGGGTTAGGGTTTAGGGTTTAGGGTTTAGGGTTTAGGGTTTAGGGTTTAGGGTTTAGGGTTTAGGGTCACTGTGGGCCCTTGGGGTTTAAGCCGACACCGGGTCCCGGAGCACCAAGCCCGACCGTAGAAGCCTCTCAGCGGCTCCTAAGCCCCGAAAATCCAACCCCTGCCCCCACCCTAAGCCCCCCGCACAGCCTCACGAAGTTGGGGTTTGTATAGGGTTTAGGGTGTAGGGTTTAGGGTTTAGGGTTTAGGGTTATAGGGTTTAGGGTGTAGGGTTTGGGGTTTAGGGTTTCGGGTTTGGGGTTTAGGGATGCTTACGGCGTGACCTCCAGGGACGCCGCGTGCGCTTCCGACGCGGCAAGCTTCGCCCCGAGCGACTCGGCCACCTGATACGTGCTCCATGTACTGCTATTTACTTAAGAACCTCCCCCCCCCCCAAAAAAAAAAGAAGTACATATTAAAAATAGAAAGATCTCTGAAATATCTATATCTTGTATAAATTCTTCCATATAAGGGTAATATAAGTGATTGTTACTTCTTCTTTTTTTGATGTGGCTGTTCTGAAGCAAGTAGTCGTTTGGGGTTCAGTATGCGGCTAACGCAGACCTCCAAAAGCGCTTGAGTTGGGAATATTCCATGATTCCATAAATCATAGTTGGATCCCTGGTACAACTTAAGGCCAATGGGATTCTAGGGAAGCCCTATGTAGGGCTTGCAGGGTTTGCAGGGTTTAGTTCGCTTAGGGATTGGGTTTCGTCAAACCCTGCAACCCTTCCCAGGGAGTCCCACAAAACCCTTAAATCAGAAATATGCCTTTGCTTGATGTTTAGGGTTTCTCGGCCTTAGGACCCATACTTAGGGTTCAAAGAGCAAGGTCTGTCTCATCAAGAGGTATTTGCACCCCCCCCCCCCCCGCGTAAATACAATAAATATCCCAGTTGGGTGGGCAGACTTGCCTGTAAACCAACCCTACAACCCAACTGGCCCCTAAACCTTCAGAACCTCATAAACCGTATAAACCCTGTAAGCCTCACAAACCCTATCAACCCTACAAACCCTTTTTAACCACACTAACATTAACTCTGCCAACCCTATAAACCCTTGTAAACCACTATTCCCTCTAGACCCTATAAACCACATTAACATGAGCTCTGCAAACCCTACAAACCTTTGTAAACCACTATACACCCTCTAGACCCTATAAACCTAGACCCTAAACCCTAAACCCTAAACCCTAAACCCTATAAGCCCTCCCAGGTTCCTCAAAAGGCAGGGCTCGGGGGTCTTTCGGGGCGCACGGATTTTGTGACCAATCGGAAGCTGAAGGCTCGTCTACCTTTAGGGCAGTTACATGGTCCCTTCGTATGGGCCCTTAAACGGGACCCCGCTTTTTTTTTGATACCCCGTATATACCCTACCGAAATGAAGGGCCCACACATCCGAACCCTTTAAGGGCGCCTTATAGAAAGGGGCGTAGAAGGGAACCTAAACCCTGAAAAAAAGGGAATCAGGGCCTACCCTGGCCCTAAACCGACCGAACCTCGGAATTGCTTTTTTTTTGGGGGGGGGGGGGGGGGGGGGGCGGCTTTCGGCGAAGGGCAGGGGGGGGGGGGGGGGGGGGGGGGGGGCCTTGTGGGTTTTGAGGGTCTCGGGGGTTCAGGAGGGCTATAGGGGATAAGGGTTTACGGTTTCAGCGGTTTAGGGTTTAAGGTCTAAGAGTTGTAGGGGTTCAAGGTTGTAGGGCGCAACGGTTCAAGGTCAATACGGCCTTGAGTAAGGATTTTCGGGGTATGCCTCGGAGGCTTCCAGCATTCCAGGATAAACGTCCAAGTACGAACAATACAAACAAAAAGGCGGATGTAGGGTAGAAACCTAAACCCTAAACCCTAAACCCTAAACCCTAAACCCTAAACCCTAAACCCTAAACCCTAAACCCTAAACCCTAAGCCCTAAGCCCTAAGCCCTAAGCCCTAAGCCCTGAGCGCGGATAAGGTGGCACTCTGAGTGCGGGGGGGCCTGGTTCCCGGAAGCCTGGGCAGCGAGGATCTCAGCCGCCTGTGTAGGTTCGAAACCCGGAGCCCTGGGTTGGTTTAGGGTTTAGGGTTTAGGGTTTAGGGTTTAGGGTTTAGGGTATAGGGTTTAGGGCTTAGGGTTTAGGGTTTAGGGTTTAGGGTTTAGGGCTTAGGGTTTAGGGTTTAGGGTTTAGGTTTTGGGTTTAGGGCTTAGGGTTTAGGGTTTAGGGTTTAGGGTTTAGGGTGTAGGGTATAGGGTATAGGGCTATGTCGCTGGTATATAGTTAATACTTTTGCCGAAGGAAATTATTCAAAAGTCTATAAAAGTATGTTTGAAAAGTCCTCTTCAACACAAGGGCTTTCAGAAAGTCAAAACAAATGTTTTCAAAATGTCCTAAAGAGAGTCTTAAGCAAAGTCTGGGCAACGTCTAAAATAAGTCTCGGGGAGAGTCTCCTGGCAACCTCCACTGCCCTCCGGAGACTCTGCCCGAGACTTTTTCTAGACTTTTTCTTTAGTTTTTTTTAGACTTTTTGGAGAGTTTTCTTGGACTTTTCTTGGGAAAAGTCTAGAAAAAGTCCGAAAAAAGTCTCCAACAAGTCTAAGAAAAAGACTCTCCCCGAGACGTATTTTAGACTTTTCCTAGACTGTTTCCAGGCTTCGTTTAAGACTCGCTTCAGAACCTTTTGAAGACTGTTTTCAGACTTTTTGAAAGCACTTGCAATTGAAGAGGACTTTTCAAAAAGACGCGTTCAAAGACGTTTTAATAATTTCTAGGATTTATAGAGTTAGCTAGGGCTCGTACGCCCTAAGCACTAAACCCTAAACCCTAAGCCCTAAACCCTAAGCCCTAAGCCCTAAACCCTGAGCCCTAAACCCTGAACCCTAAACCCTAAGCCCTACACCCAGGACTCCTTCCCTCCCCCCACCGCCACCCGCATCCCCTTCCCGAACCCCAAGCCTCATCCTTCGATGCCCTCAGCTGCGTCTCCAAGTCCAGAGACTTGGCCTTTAGGGTTTAGGGTTTAGGGTTTAGGGCTTAGGGTTTAGGGTTTAGGGTTTAGGGTTTAGGGCCCAATACCCCTTCATGAAGGAACAGACTCTGAAGCATACTAAGGCTGTGGCAACAGGCTTCGGATGGCTTCGGGGCTCAGGTGGTGGCTTTAAGGTTTAGGGTTTAGGGTTTAGGGTTTGGGCTTTGGGACTTAGGATGTCGCCCCAAACCGTTTCACCTTCAACCGTTCCGAACCCTAGACCGGAAAAGGTTGCTTTCGGCTACTGCAAGAGCCCAAATGATTACCAAATTCATCTCCTAAAAGCCCCTACGTACATATGAAGACATAGCCAGAGTGCACATGCTCAGTCAAATAACGACACAATAATCCTGAAACCTTAACCTCCAAACTACACCCTGTAGTCCTGAAACCTTCACCTCCAAAAACACAATCCCTTTTGGGGTTCCTGTTGTCAGATGCGGCTTTGCACTTAGGGTTTCGGGTTGCCCCAGCAAGCCTAAACCCTAAACCCCGAACACCCACAAAACGGCCACAATTTGGAGAACTACACACAGGTCAGGTGCTCATCTCGCACTGACATACTGTACAAGGCTGGCTCCAGGTTTTCGGATTCCACGGTTGAGTTTAGGGTTTAGACTTTAGGGTTTCATTCAATTGTGAAGGGTAGAACTTATAGGGTGTAGGGTAAACCTATAGCCTATGGCGGACCTGTGAGAATTTCGGCCCTAAACCCTAAACCATCCCCAGACCTAAGCCCGAAGGACTGAGCCCTAAGCCCTAAGCCCCAAGCCCTAAACCTTAAACCTTAAACCCTAAACCCCAAACCCCAAACCCTAAACCCCAACGTATGCAAGGACTTAGCTTGACAAGGTTCCTGCCTTGGCAGACTCCAGCGACGCGGAAAGCTCTTGCTCTTTCGCCGTCGCCTGCAAATCGTGCTTATGGTAGGGTTTAGGGTTTAGGGTTTAGGGTTTAGGGTTTAGGGTGTACGGTTTAGGGTTTAGGGTTTAGGGTTCAGGGTTCAGGGCTTTTAGGATCCCTCGAACCAAACAACTCAACCCCTGCACAGCAAAACCCTACTGTTGGGCCCGCTGAGTGCGCGCCGGCATGACCTAATACAGCGCGTCGGGTTGCGGGTTCCGGGACCTCTGAGCGCATGCAGGGCATAATCAACTCTGCTGCGTAGCAGAGACCACAGGCCCGCAGACTGCCAAGCCACAGTACCTAGAAGCCTAGCAGCCGAGCAGCCTAAAACCCTAGCATCCTGAACCCTAATTACCATCCTAAACCCTGAACCCACAAAGCCTTTAACCATCCTAAACCATACTAAACCCCATCCTAAACCCTAAACCATCCTAAACCCTGAACCCAAAAAGCCTTTAACCATCCTAAACCATACTAAACCCATCCTACCTGGTCCCCGCCTCTACGTCCAAATTTCGGACGTTCGAAAAATATAGGACGGGGCACCTAAAAAAATCAAAAGCTAAGGGTGTGTGTTCAACAAAGCAACCTATGTAAGAAGAAAAGCCCCTCTTTACACCCCTGAAACTGAGTGCTGGACCGTAGACCCCTTAAGAATTGAACCCAAAACGAAAAACTGATCCAAAGCCGAACTCCGCAAAGCGTACATATATACTGCCGTATACAACCCCTCCTCAATCCTGAAATCCGATTCCGTTACAACAACTGCTGGGCCTTCGTGAAGCAAGGTTGCTAAAACGGTTTAGGGTTTTTAGGGTAGATAGGGTAGATAGGGTTGATATTATATAGGCTTTAAATACAAATATATATATATATATATACATGTATGCACAAATGTTTGTACACACATATATGTATATACTGATTCTATACAGTGTGTATATATCTATATATATGTGTGTGTGCATAAACATACCTACAAATATACATATATACAGACTGCCGAGATGGAGTTTTGATTTATATTCGAACTCTCACACACATTATACATGTCTACATATGTAAATACCTATATCTATATGGTGTATATATATATATATATGTCTGTGTGTGTGTTAGCACGAATTACAAACAAAGAAGAAATGTGCGTGTATAAGCTCCATGCCAATCATGCTCTCGCTCTCTCTCTCTCTCTATCTCTCTCCCTCCTTTTTGCTTCTCTCCCATTTGCGTGTCTGCCCACACATAACAAGATCTTATATCCCGACACGTGTGTATACGTATGTATATATATATATATAGACAAGGTATCTCGACACACGCTTGCGTGTAATTATGAATATCTATCTATATATGCTGACCCCCCCCCCCCCAAGATCCGCATCTGAGTGCTTGTAGTCTTGATCGCCGAAATTTCTGTATGCGTCATTAGTTCATTCATGTTGGAACTTTGCTCTTGTACGAAAACCTTGACAGTGCAAACTCCAGTTGACAAGCGCGAGGGACACACTCAGGGAGAGAGAGACAAAGGGACAGACAGAGAGAGAGAGAGAGAGAGAGTATGTACCATCTATCTATCTATATATATATATGGTCATGTATTAAATACGACTAGAATATTATCACGAACTTCAATATAGAAAGAAACTAAATCGATATATGAAATAATTCAGGCAAGAATGGCTTGAGATATCTTAGCTAAGGCATAGTTTTTTGGATGGCTTAAGACACGTTAGCTAAGGTATATAGTGTTTAGTATAGAGTTCAGGTTTTGCGCATTGGGGGATGATTGCTTCAGATATCTTAGCTCAGGCTTAGTATGGAGTTCAGGTTTTGCTTATTGGGGTATGATTGCTTGACATATCTTGGCTCAGGTGGAGTATAGAGTTCAGGTATTGCTTATTGCAGGATGATTGCTTCAGATATCTTAGTACCTCAGGTTTAGTATAGAGTTCAGGTTTTGCTTACTAGGGGATGACTGCTTTAGATATCTTAGCCCAGGTTCAGTATAGAGTTCAGGTTTTGCTTATTGGGGGGGATGATTGCTTCCCATATCTTAGCTCAGGATTTTCGTATAGAGTTCAGGTTTTGCTTCTTGGGGGGATGATTGCTTCCCATATCTTAGCTCAGGTTTAGTATAGAGTTCAGGTTTTGGGGGGATGATTGCTTCAGATATCTTAGCTCAGGTTTAATATAGAGTTCAGGTTTTGCTTATTGGGGGATGATTGCTTCAGATATCTTAGCTCAGGTTTAGTATAGTATTGAGTTCAAGTTTTGCTTATTGGGGATTGCTTCAGATATCTTGCTCAGGTATAGTATAGAGTTCAGGTTTTGTTTATTGGTGGATGATTGCTTCAGATATCTTAGCTCAGGTGTGTTTTTTAGGATTGATGTCGTGGTTTGCTTATTGGTTGCTTAACAGAGGCAGCAAAACGTTGCAAAACCTCGAGGAGGTACCAATAAACCAAAGTTCAAGCACCAAAATGCTGCAAAACCTCGAGGAGGTACCAATAAAACAAAAATATCTGAGACCTACAGCCCCGGATCACCGATAGTCTCAAAATCTTTGTACCTCCTCGAGGTTTTGCAGCAAAACCTTGCAAAACCTCGAGGAGGTACCAAAACAACCAAAGTTCAAGCACCAACATGCTGCAAAGCCGAGGAGGTACCCAAAAGAAACACAAAAAACATTTTGAGACCTACAGCCCCGGATCCCTGCAGAGTCTCATATTTTTGTTTTTTTGGGCTTTTGATACCTCCTTGAGGTTTTGCGTCATTTTGATCCTTGAGCTTTGTTTTTTGTTGGTACGTCCTCGAGGTTTCGCAGTAAAACCTTGCAAATCCTCGAGGAGGTACCAAGAAAACCAAAATTCAAGCACCAAGATGCCGCAAAACCTCGAGGGGTTCCAAAAAAACAAAAACTATGAGACCTACAGCCCCGGATCACCCGATAGTCTCACTTTTTTTCGTACCTCCTCGAGGTTTTGCATCATTTTGATCCTTGAGCTTTGTTTTTTTTGTACCTCGTCGAGGTTTTGCAGCAAAACCTTGCAAAACCTCGAGGAGGTACCAAAAAATCAGCAAATAATATCCTGGTGACTTGTTTTATGGGATTTTGTTTTGGGGAGCCTACAGCGCTGAATATTTTGAGCATGTAAGATATCAAAACTTGCGTTTGTCGATGTTTTTACATGGTCGTGTTACGAAAACACTGGCAGGTGTGGCAAACACACATATGAAATCGAGAAGACGGAGGTCCAGAATCCGGACCTCGAGAAACAGAACGAACAAGCAACCACAACATCATAGAGCCATAACTTGTTTGCAAAACGCGTTTTTGTCGGTATTTACAGCGGTTGGCTTGGAGTATTTCTCATGGGTCGTCGAAAAGTAGTTGTGATACTGGTCGGCCCCTCCAAGTGTGGATCTGGGGGGGGGGGGGGGGCGGAGCGACCATATATATATATATGTACATATTTCTTCTAAATATGTGTGTGTGTGCGCGTGCGTGTCTCTGTGTGCGTGCATATGTGCATGCGTCGATTATATGTATATAAGCATATTATATATTCATTATTATTTTTAATTATATTATATTTAATTTATTTATGTATACTTGTTATATTGATGAACCTATTTGTCTGTGTCTGTGTGTGTGTGTGTTGGGTCGTGTGCGTGTGCACGTGTGCACGTTCGTGTGTGTGTGTGTGTGTGTGTGTGTGTGTGGTCGTTTGCGTGCGTGTGTGCGCGTGCGCAAGCGCGTGCGCGTGTGTGCGTGTGCGTGTGCGTGTTCGTGTGCGTGTGCACCCTTTGAAAAGCTCTACGTGGCCTACACACAACCAACCAACCAGGACCAAAATCTTTGAAACATTAAAAATCCTGAAAGCCTGGGGACCTAAAAACGCACCACTGGACAGCACCACTTTGGCGTGGAAAAGTGCGGCGTTGGCGCGGTTTTGGCGCTGAAAAGTGCGGCGTTTTTTTTTGGGCGTTTTTCGGGGGCCTATTTTTTTTAGCCGTTGGCGTCCCAAAACCAGACGTTGGCGTACTATTTTTGGGCGCGGCGTTCTATTTTCGGGCGTTGTGGAGCCCAGACCACAAAAAAAACGCAAAAAAAGGTGCAAAATCGCTTGGAAAACCTGGCCTGTACTAAAGAAGAGGAACCGAGCCAGGAGCCAGACCAACAAACCATACCGGCTGCAGAATAGAAGATGCATACACACCCGATACTTTGCCGAAAGCAAGCAGATCCGCCCTTCAGCCGTGCCAGAACACGGTGTCCAAGACAAAGGGGTGCTTGACAGGGCACACGAATTACGCTGCTGATCTTGCTTAACTGTACTGCAGCTATGCAGGAAGCAGATTGGGACGTGTCAGCTCACAAATGACGTGGCATAAGCTCCCTCCACCCCGGTGGAAAACATACCCTCGTGGGATCCAAAAAGGTACACAACTAACTCAGGCATATGGGCGTCACTCCACATGTCGGTTCCCATCTCCCATGTGTCCCAAAGACTGAAAGCATCGGGGAGACGAGACGGCTCGGTATAAAAGGTCGCTGGGTGCTTCTTTACCACACAGAAACATAACGTTGAAGTGTGTATATATATATATATATTTATTTATTTATTTATTTATTTATGTGCAATGAAAATTTTATAATAGAATATACATACATATATATATTTTGTCTCTATTAATTTATTTATTGACATTTATAGTTTTATATTTATATGGTCGCCCCCCCCCCCCGCCCCCCAGATCCACACTTGGAGGGGCCGACCAGTATCACAACCACCTTTAAACGACCCATGAGAAATACTCCGAGCCAACCGTGCTGTAAATACCGATAAAAACGCGCTTTGCAAACAAGTTTAGATATGGCTCTATGATATTGTGGTTGCTTGTTCGTTCTGTTTCTCGAGGTCCGGATTCTGGACCTCCATCTTCTCGATTTCATATGTGTGTTTGCCACACCTGCCAGTGTTTTCGTAACACGACCATGTAAACATCGAAAAACACAGGCTTTTATATCTTACATGCTAAAAAATATTCAGCGCGGTAGGCTCCCAAAAAAAAACCATAAAACAAGTCACCAGGACATTATTTGCTGATTTTTTGGTACCTCCTCGAGGTTTTGCAAGGTTTTGCAAGGTTTTGCTGCAAACCTCGAGGAGGTACCAATAAAAGCCAAAGCTCAAGGATCAAAATGATGCAAAAACCTCGCGGAGGTTCCAAAAAACCCAAAAAACATCAAAGTGTTTAGACTATCGGGGGATCCGCGGCTGTAGGTCTCAGAATTCTTGGTTGTTTTTGTTTTTTGGTAGCTCCTCGACGTTTGCAGCGTTTTGGTGGTTGAACATTGGCTTTTTGGTACCTCCTCGAGGGTTTGCAAGGTTTTGCTGCAAAACCTCGAGGAGCTACCAAAAGAACTAAATATTTGAGACTATCCGGGGATCTGGGGCTGTATGTCTGAGATAGTTTTTTGGTACCTCCTCGAGGTTTTGCAGCACTTTGGCGCTTGAACTTTGGTTTTTTGGTACCTCCTCGAGGTTTTGCAACGTTTCGCTGCATATTTTAAGCAATCAGTAAGCAAACCGTGACATCAATCCTAAAAAATACACCTGAGCTAAGATATGTGAGGCAATCATCCCCCAACAAGCAAAACCTGAACTCTATACTAAACCTGAGCTAAGACGCTAAGACATGCCAAGCAATCATCCCCCAATAAGCAAAACCTGAACTCTATACTAAACCTTAGCTAAGATATGTGAAGCAATCATCCCCCAAGAAGCAAAATCTGAACTTTATACTAAACCTGAGCTAAGATATCTGAAGCAGGCATCCCCCAATAAGCAAAACCTGAACTCTATACTAAGCCTGAGCAAAGTTATGTCAAGCAATCATCCCCCCGATAAGCAAAACCTGAACTCTATACTAAACCTGAGCCAAGATATGTCAAGCAATCATCCCCCCAACAAGCAAAACCTGAACTCTATACTAAACCTGAGCCAAGATATGCCAAACAATCATCCCCCAATAAGCAAAACCTGAACTCTCTATACTAAGCCTGAGCTAAGATAGATATCTGAAGCTATCATCCGCCAATAAGCACAACCTGAACTCTATACTAAACACTATACCTTAGCTAACATGTCTTAAGCCATCAAAAAATCTCTGCCTTAGCTGAGATATCTCAAGCAACCATCCCCCGATAAGCAAAATCTGAATTATATCATATAGCGATACGTTCTATATTGAAGTTCGTTATAATATTCTAGTAGTATATAACACATGACCATGCACATGTCAAGGTGGTAAACACACACACACACACACACACTCTCTCTCTCTCTCTCTCTCTGTCCCTTTGTGTCTCTTTCTTTCCCCCAGTGTGTCCCTCGTGCTTGTCAACTGGAGCTTACACTGTGACAGTTTTTGTACAAGAGCAAAGTTCCAACATGAATGAACGAATGACGCATACAGAAATTTCGGCGATCAAGACTACAAGCACTCAGATGCGGATCTTGGGGGGTCAGCATATATATATATAATATGTATAATTATCGCTTTATATAGGTGTTATATATGTATAGAAACACATGCGTATGTATAATACCTGTCCGAGTAGAAAGGTGTACAAACATACAGAATATACACACAGACACACAGACGCACAAATAGTGTATATATGTGTGCACATGTACATACACATACCCCTCCCCTCCTTCCCTCCTCCCTCCTCCCTCCTTCCCTCCTTCCCCCCCTCCCTCCTTCTTCCTTCCCTTCTTCCTTCCCTTCTTCCTTCCCTTCTTCCTGCCCTTCTTTCTGCCCTTCTTCTCCTTCCCTCCTTCTCCTTCCCTCCTTCTCCTTCCCTCCTTCTCCTTCCATCCTTCTCCTTCCCTCCTTCTCCTTCCCCCCTTCTCCTTCCCTCCTTCTCCTTCCCTCCTTCTCCTTCCCTCCTTCTCCTTCCCTCCTTCTCCTTCCCTCCTTCTCCTTCCCTCCTTCTCCTTCCATCCTTCTCCTTCCCTCCTTCTCCTTCCCTCTTTCTCCTTCCCTCCTTCTCCTTCCCTTCCCTCCTTCTCTCCCTCCCTCCCTCCCTTACATTGTTAGTCTTCTTCTTTTTCTTGTCACAAGGACCGTTGTTTGTGTTTGTGCTCGGTGTTGTCGCCCTTGTTTCCTGCTACTGTGTTTGTTCGTGGGCTGCTGCTGCTGCTGCTGCTGCTGCTGTTGTTGTTGTTGTTGTCGTCAATTTTGCTATTTGTCTTGCTGCTGCTGTTGTTATTTCTTTGTCCTTCGTGGTGTTCTTCTTCTTGGTGCTGTTATTATTGTTGTTCTTGTTGTTTTGGTTTCTTATTGTTATTGTTCTTGTTCTTGTCATTGTTCTTGTTCTTGTTGTTGTTCAAAGCCAGCTAAGTACAAGAAAGGTTGCGGGATTCCAGGAAAGTTCGAGGCCCGCGCAAAAAAAATCAGACGTTTCAACCAAAAATCAGACGTTTCAACCAAAAGCCCAATTTTCCCAAAAAAACAGGCGGGGCCAAAAAAGGAACACACAGAGAGGGACCAGGTAAACCCTAAACCATCCTAAACCCTGAGCCCAAAAAGCTCAAAAAAACCCAGCGCCCGCACCCAACACCCTGAACCCCCCCTTCGACAGCCCAGCCCAAGCTGCCTCGTCCCTCGCTGTCCTCAGCTGCGCCTCCGAATCGCGGCGCAAAACCCTTAACCCTAAACCCTAAACCCTACACCCTACACCCTAAGCCCTAAACGCTAAGCCCTAAACCCTAAACCCTACTAAAACCCGAAAGCCGTATAAAAGATTGGCCTGAACTCTATGTCAAGCTTCAAAGCTTCCGCGTTGCACAGTTGAGTGTTAGGGTTTAGGGTTTAGGGTTTAGGGTTTAGGGTTTAGGGTTTAGGGTTTAGGGTTAGGGTTTAGGGCATACGGTTTAGAGGGTCTAGGGTTTATATCTAGGGTTAAGGATTAATCTGCCAGGGCGGGGGAAGCAGCGATTGCGTCTTCTTGTGAGTTGTTTGCGGCATGGCGTGCTTCAAGTTGGCAAGGGCACTCCGGCGTGATTTGAGCTAAGAGAGCCTCCGGCGCTTGCGGGTGCTCACACTCGAGCGATCAGCTTCCGACAGCAAACGCACAATCTCAACACGGCTATTTCTAGAGGCCACCTTCAGAGCTGTATCACCTGCCTTGTTCACCAAGTCCTTGTTGGCGCCGGCCTCCAGCAGCAAGCGAACTACTTGGACGTGGCCATTCCCAGATGCCATCATCAGAGCTGTATCACCGAACCTGTCCGCCAAGTCCTTGTCGGCTTTGTCCCTTAAGAGCAAGCGCACGACTTCAACATGGCCCATGAGCGCTGACACCATGAGAGCTGTACGCCCTCTTCCGCTGGCCAAGTCCGTGTCGGCGCCGGCCTCCAGCAGCAAGCGCACGACTTCGACGTGGCCTTCGACGGATGCCCCATGCAAAGCTGCAAAGCCCATAGAGTCGCCTCCTGCCAGGTCCTTGTCAGCCCCTCCTTCCAGCAGCTCAGTGACAACTTCCGCATGGCCTCGCCGGGACGCCTGCACCAGAGCTGTGTAGCCCCGCCCATCAAACAAGTCCGGGTAGGCAAACCCTTCCAAAAGCAGAGTGGCAACTTCCGCATGGCCTCCCTCAGACGCCCGCACCAGAGCTGTGTTGCCCCATGCATCGCGCAAGTCCGGGTTTTGGGGAATGTGCAGCATGGCCTCCACCTGAAGAGGGCTTGTAAGTAAGGCTTGAAGATGACTTGTCATTCAACTTGGAGGTTCATGAGTAGACAGGGTAAAACGTATTGTAACCTATACACTTATTTGTAAATATGGGAACTATACTTGTAACCTTGCTTAGGGTACGTTTCATGTGAACCTGCAAGTAGAGTCACCATCCCACTACAGTTGAAAAGAAGCTCGCGCCTGGGCTGCGGAGCCCCGTTCGGCAGCTTCGATGAGTTTCCTTCCTGAGACATCGGCGAAGGGCAGCAGCACCAGTTGCAGGTCCATGGGGGAGTCCAGCTCATCAGCATCCTCCAGCTCACGGCCGTTGAGAAGGAGCCTCTGCCGGAAGCGTGAGGGCACGCCTGGCAGCCGGCTCAAGTGCCGCTTCAAGTACCTCACGTTGCGCACCTCCCCGACGGCTATGCTCGCCACCTCCTCCCCGGAGAGCCTCGTTACGCGAAGCATCCCGACATCTCGCTGCATTAGGAGGGAAGGGCTCTGCGTGCGTGGAAGAGGAGAGCTCTGCAAATTTCGTCCTGGGCTAGCGATAAACGCTTGCAGGGCTGCGGGGCATTCAGTGCGCGTGGGCACTCTGGCACTTTGTGCATTATCCCCTGCCCCTTATATCAACCCCCCCGCCCCCGTAAAGATAAATACTCCCACTGTATAGTTAAAATTATTATAGTACCAGGGGAGCATTGAACATTTTGGGGGTAGGTGGGGGTTTGGGGTTTGATTTTAGGGTTTAGCGTGAACACTCCAAAGCTTGGAGAAGGGTTTCGGGCCCTAAGCCCTAAACCCTAAACCCTAAACGGGGGGAGGGGATTGTAGTTGAAAGGTCGGCCCGTCCCCCAAAAAAGCCGGCTGCCCGCTGCAGCCACCGAAGCCAAGAACCCTCAAGTCGCAGAGAGGTTTGGAGAGTTTAGGGTTTAGGGTTTAGGTTTTAGGGTTTAGGGTTTAGGGGTTTAGGGCTGAATAGGTTGCTTTTGGGTTTAGGACACTACCCCGAGGACCGGGTGAACCCCGGAATCGGGTCGTATTCCCTCTACCACTATGATTCCTAGTCAGGTATATGAACCCTAAACCTTAAACCCTAAACCTAAACCCTAAACCCTAAACCCTAAACCCTAAATCCTGAACCCTAAGCCTTAAACCCTAAACCCTAAACCCTAAACCCTAAACCCTAAACCCTAAACCCTAAACCCTAAACCCAAAATCCAAGGTAGGTCTTCAGAAAGCTCCTGCCTTGACTGACTCCAGTGACGCCGAGAGCTCTTGCTCCTTCGCCGCCGCCTGCATCCGGGCCCCCATGAGCCCTTTAGGGTTTAGGGTTTAGGGTTTAAGGTTTAGGGTTTAGGGTTTAAGGTTTAGGGTTTAGGGTTTAGGGTTTAGGGTTTAAGGTTTAGGGTTTAGGGTTTAGGGCTTGCGGCTTCTTATTTCGGGCTCAGATGCCGTAGTAGGATTTACAATAGCATGGCGTATATGGCCCCATCTCTAGGGGTTCATTTGGTCCCCAGAGTACCAACCACAATCACGCCCTAAACGCCCTTACAAACCCCGAACTTAGGATGTTCCCCCTTATACTAACAGTTTTTGATTGGGATCATAGTAGGGGGGGGGGGGTACTATAGTCCCTATTCAAGACTGCTAATATAACGGGGAACGTCCTAGCCCTAAACCCTGAACCCGAAACCCGAAAGCCCTAAACCCGGAACTCCTTTTGAAGACAGAAGCCGAGAACCGGCCATATACCCCATACCACAACCCTAAACCCTAAACCCTAAAACCTAAACCCTAAACCCTAAACCCTAATTTTATCGGATGATCCCCGAAGGGAATCCGATGTCGCTCGAAGTTGCCGAATAAGATATCTTCACAACAAACCCGAAAAAAAACTTGCAACTGAACCAGTTGCTGGAGGTGAGTAGCCTTACAGTGTGAGCTCAGGGAGTCAGACAACTCAAGGCCAAAGGGCAAAGAGTACCTCTTATACACTCTGCATCACCTCAGGGAGGGAGCAGTTGCCAAAACACCTCCACTTAAAAAAACAGCCAGCATAGAGGAGCTCGCAATCTGAAGCAAGCTCTAAAAGAACAGAAGTGAACCTGCAGCCGACTGCTGTGGCCGGCAAGAGAATATTGTTAGGTGGTCAGTGCAGAGGCACCGTAGCCATTTTGGCTCAAGGTACAAATCGGGCCCTTGCTGCAAAGCAGGCCTTTTGTCTTTTCTTTTGCGAGATAAGAAGCTAAATCGATCTGTTGGGTTGCTGGAAAAACATCAACAAAACAGTTTTCTCTTTTCGTGCACATGGAATTACACTGGGCACAAAACCTATTAATGAAGCTTTTCGCAAACAAAGCCAAGCTCTGAAAAAGGGATTCGGGAGCTGTACTGGGCATCTTGGCTACCGTAGAGGGTCTCGGGTTTTGGGTTTATGAGGGCATTTCAGGGTAAACCCTAAACCCTAAACCCTAAACCCTAAACCCTAAACCCTAAACCCTAAACCCCAAACCCCAAACCCCAAACCCTAAACCCTAAACCCTAAACCCTAAACCCCCCTAAACCCTAAACCTAAACCCTAAACCCTCAACCCTAAACCCTAAACCCTAAACCCGCATAGGAGCCATAAACTCTTTTGGGGTTCATCTCGTCCCCAAAGGAAGGTAGCCATGATCAGGAAGTGCCGGCGGGTGGCTTCTGCTTGTGTTTGGGACCTTCTGATGCTCCTAATAGGGCCCTTAGCGCTCTATTCTGGGTTGACCCTAAACCCTAAACCCTAAACCTGGGACCCTGTTGACCTGCAGTTTTCAGGGTTATACCTGCGAATTAGAGGGGGGTTACTTTCTACGAAACTGTAGGCAACATAGAGTCCCAGGTATGGGTGTTGGCGTAAGTACAAGGTTGCATATTGAATTCTTGAACCCCACTTGGAGGTTCATGGTACTTACTGTACTTACAACCCACTTTATAAGCCCCTTCAGTGCCCTAAACATGATGTATGATGGCTACAAGTACAGTTATAAGTACAGTTCAAACCCTAAACCCTAAACCGCCTAAACCATAAACCCTAAACCCAATACCCTAAACCCTCAACCCTAAACCCTAAACCCTCTATAATTGGTTGAACCTCCTAGCAGACCCCGGCCACCTCATCCTTGGCTGTCTTCAGCTGAGCCTCCAGACCGCAAAGGTTTAGGAGTTTAGGGTTTAGGGGTCTAGGGTTTAGGGTTTAGGAGTTTAGTTAGGGTTTAGGAGTTTAGGGTTTAGGGGTTTAGGGTTTAGAGGGTTTAGTTAGGGGTTTAGGATTTAGGGTCATAGGGGTTTAGGGCTTATAGGGGGTTTAGGAGTTTGGGGGGTTAGGGTGGGTTTAGGGTTATACGGGTTGAGGGGTTTAGGGCTTGTAGGGCTTCGGGTTTAGGAGTGTTCAGAGGGGTCTTGGACCTAGGGTTTAGGGTTTAGGGTTTAGGGTTTAGGATTTAGGGTTTAGGGTTTAGGGTTCCGAGTTCCCACACAACTCCCGCGAATCTGGGGTTTTGGTAAAATCTTATACACATCCCGAAACAATGAACCTTAACACCCAAACCCTGAAACACCTCCCTCCCCCCCATCTCCCATAGACCCGTAGGAAGGGGATCTTCGGGCGCGCGCGCAGGGACTTTTACAGTACTTGGCAGTGCCGTGCACCTTGGTTGCCGGGAGCTAGGAGAGCCTCCGGCATTTGCCGGTGCTCACGTTCGAGCCATCAGCATCTGGCAGCAAACGCGCAGTCTCAGCACCGCCATGTCCAGATGGCAGTGTATGTCCTTTTTGACACTCCTTCAAGCATGTATCACCGGACTTGTCCGCCAAGTCCTTGCCGGCGCCGAACTCTACGAGCAAGCGCACGCCCTCCACATTCCCAATGCGAGCTGAGAGCATGAGAGCTGTATACCCTTTAACGTTAGCCAAGTCCATGTTGGCGCCGGCCTCCAACAGCAACCGTGCAGCAGCGACACGCCCGTTCCTCGAGGCCATCATCAGAGCTGTATCGCCGAACTTGTCCGCCAAGCCCTTGCTGGCACCGGCGTTTATGAGCAAACGCGTGACTTCAACATGGCCTCGGTGAGCTGCCCGCATGAGAGGTGTAGCACCGAAGTTGTCCGCAAGGTCCTTGCAGGCGCCGGCCTCGAGCAGCAAGCGCGCGACCGCGACGCGGCCAGTTTGAGATGCCGCAGTCAGCGCTGTCAACCCCTCATCTGTGGTTTCTGCCAGGTCCTTGTCGGCACCTCCATCCAGAAGCAGAGAGACAACGTCAGCATGGCCTCCCAAAGATGCAAGCACCAGAGCTGTGGAGCCGTTCGCGCCGACCAGGTTCGGGTCTTGCGGGAGCTGCAGCATAGCCTCCACCTGATCGTTCTTCGGGGCGGTCAGTGCAGCTTAGAGCCAGTTTGGGAGCTATGAAAATAACAACATACATGAGCTACATCCATACATATATATATATATATATTGTCTCTCTCTATATAAATAAATAAATAAATAAATAAATAAATAAATAAATAAATAAATAAATAAATAAATAAATAAATAAATGTATATATATATATATGTGCGTGTGTATGCACTGTTCTTCTGACTAAAAGCACGATCTCTAAGGCCAAGTAGAAGTGAAATACTTGATGGACAAGCAAACTCAGGCTAACAAAAGCTAGAGCCCCAAGCCCCACTTTAGGGTTTAGGGTTTAGGGTTTAGGGTTTAGGGTTTAGGGTTTAGGGTTTAGGGTTTAGGGTTTAGGGTACCCACAAAAACACCCTAAACTGCCTGGCTTTTACATGCCTTTACGAGGCGAGCGGTACACCACCCGCCGCACCCGCCGCCCCGCACATGTCGCCTGTGACCGGCCCACGCACCCAGGGTTTAGGGTTTAGGGTTTGGGGTTTAGGGTTTAGTGTTTAGGGTTCCGCGTTTTGGCTGGATCTTTAGCTATGGGTGGCCGTCTGTGCGAGCTGATGTTGTGAGTCTTTATCTCTGAAAATACGATACCTTTAAATATGTCTTGGCTGGGTCTCGGTCCCCCCTCCCTCCCTCCCTCCCTCCCTCCCTCCCTCCCCTAAACCCAAAACCTTAAACCCAAACCCCGCAACCACACCACAGGGGGGACGCTGAACCCAAATCTAGAGTCTAGAGCAATGAGGAGGACCCAGAAAAGTTTTTGCTATCCCTAATTAAAGATTTTACTCGCCAAGACCAACTTTTTTCCCTGGCAAAAGTCTTGTTACTGCGGCGTACCAACTTTTCCCCAGTACAAAGTTGGCTTTCGGTGAACAAGAGCATCTTTTCACTGGGAGAAACTGATGTTTTGGTTGCTGGGTATTCCTAGTAAGTCTATTTTACCCTAAACCCTAAACCCTAAGCCCTATACACGCTATCTACCTTATATATCCCAAGCGCTATCGAAAGCACGCGACTGAGAGATGCGCTCACAGAGACTGCGATGGGCAAACGACCGCGATGGGCGAACAAGCAGCCCTCTCTGTTGCAACAGAATATGTTCCTGAACAAAACCATAATTGCAACAGACGCCTTCACAGAGAGTCGAAACTATCAATAAACGACACTCCTGGTAGGGGATTTGACCGACGCCTGCTTTCGTGACCTATATTTGGGAGGAAAGTGGTTCGCGCCTCGGCTGCAGAGCCCCGTCGGGCAGCGGCTACGAAATTGTTCGCCTGCCATCTTGCAACATCGGTGAAGGGCAGTAGCACCAGTTGCAGCTCCATGGGGGAGTCCAGCTCCATCGCATCCTCCAGCTCACGTCCGTTGAGAAGGAGCCTCTGCCGGAAACGCGAGGGCACGCCTGGCAGCTGGCTCAAGCGCCTCTTCAAGGACCTCACGTCGCTCACCTCCCCGACGGCAATGCTCGCCACCTCCTCCCCTGAGAGCTTCGTTATTCGCAGCATCCCCAGCGGAGCACTCGACAAAGAGCGCCGCGCTGCAATGGCGTGGCTCGCCCCGCATTTGTCGCACGGGGCTTCAGGGCTTGGGGGTTGGGGTTTATAATATGCAGCTCCCAGGCTTACTCAAAGGTTTGTAATATGGGGTTTAAGTTGGTTTAGGGCTTAGGGTTTACTCAGGGTTAGCATACTTAGGCCACCATGTGCCTCACAGCCGCTTTTTGGACAAAATTTCAATGGGAAAGAGCCGAGATGTACAGAAAGAGCTGGCCGAATGTGTTTTTTCAAGGCTACATTCAGCTTTTGTTGGGCAGAAAACCCCTGACAAGTCTTCGACAGCCACCAGCAAAGAAAACCCTCAACACCTGTCCTGAGACCTCTGCGGCCCTTTCAGGCGGGGAAAAGGGTTAATGTGCAGGGTTTGGGTTTATATGGGTTCATTGGTTCCAGGATTCGTCGGTTTAGGGTTTATGGTTTTGGGCTTTAGGGTGCTTCGCCTTTTTGGGCTGCGGGCAGTGGAATTGTCGGGGTGTACACCTCGAACTTCGGCCAACAGGCGTCTGGAACAAGAAGACAACCCCACGCCCTCCCCCCTGTCAGCTGCTAAATTTGCTTGGGGTGGTGGGTCCCTGAACCTGGAAACCCCTAAACCCTGAACCCCGGAACCCTAAACCCTGAACCTTGAAAGCCTAAAAAACCAGGATCCTTGAAACCCCTAAATCCCTAAACCCTGAACCTTGAAACCCGCAAATCAAAATCTGGGATCCGTTTGGGATACCCGCTTGCAAACTCCTGGGCCGGGTGCGCCCACTTGGAGGTTCATGGTACTTATTAACCAATTGGGTGGTTGTCAAAATTATGATCCCTTTTGGGGTACCCTAAATATTAGGTGCCGTATTATAATAGGGATCCAAAAAGGGACCATGATTTTGACAACCACCCAATTATATCTGTACTTAAAACCATATAAGGGAAGTTAGGGGCTTATAAGTGGGTTATAAGTACAGTTATGACTGGTGATTAAGTACCATGAACCTCCAAGTACCTCTGCCTTTGCTTGACTTTTAGGGGGTTTAGGTTCTAGGGTGTTAGGTTTTATAGGGGTTTAGTGTTTTAGCTTCTAGGGATGTCGGGGTTTAGGGATTTTGGGGTTGTGTGCTTTTAGGGCTTCGGGTTTAGCAAGTGCGCGCAAACCTTTGCACAGCAGGCGTGACACTCTAAGCCGTTGCTGCTAAGTCAAGGCAAACCCTAAGGGTCCATGTACCTATCTAGTATATACTTGGGCCCTAAAGCTACCATATGGGAACCCCTTTTAAGGCCCAAGTATAGACTATATAGGTACATGGACCCTTAGGGAAACAGAGAGGGCTTCAGGGCTCCGGCAGGAAGCCATGACTTGGGGGTTAGGGCTTAGGGCTTGGCTTAGGGCTTGGCGCTTGGCGCTTGGGGCTTGGGGCTTGGGGCTTGGGGCTTGGGGCTTAGGGCTTAGGGCTTGGGGCTTGGGGCTTAGGGCTTAGAGGGCTTAGAGGGCTTAGAGGGCTTAGGGGGCTTAGGGCTTAGGTCTTAGGGCTTAGGGCTTAGGGCTTAGGGCTTAGGGCTTGGGACTTAGGTCTTAGGGCCTAGGTCCTAGGTCTTAGGGCCTTAGGCCTTAGGGCTTAGGGTTTAGGGTTTGCTGACTTTTGCAGAGGGGGCCTGCCTTGGCTGAGTCCAGTGACGCCGAAAGCTCTTGCTCCTTCGCCACAGCCTGCAGTGAGCCCGATAACCCTAAACCCTAAACCCTAAACCTAAACCCTAAACCCTAAACCCTAAACCCTAAACCCGAAACCCTAAACCCTAAACCCTAAACCCTAAGCCCTAAGCCCTGAAGCCTGACTCCCTGAAATCCTAGAGTACCAGACAGAATCTCACAACCCCAACAAGCATGAACCCATCAAAGCTTCGCAACACCGACGCGTGCAAACAGGGTTTCCTGTGCCAAACCGTAAACCCCAAACCCGTTTAGGGTTTAGGGCTTTAGGCTTTAGGCTTTAGGCTTTAGGCTTTAGGCTTTAGGCTTTAGGCTTTAGGCTTTAGGGTTTAGGGTTTAGGGTTTAGGGACTGAATGAACCCGAAAAGGGTTTATGGTTTTTCTACCTGAATAGGACCCATCGTAGTATAGAGTACACCACCCAATTTATGGGTTCATGTCGGCGCCAAGGCCCTGATACCTCGAGGCCGGGTTCGGTACAGGGAAAGGACCGGGCGGCTTCTACTCACGTGTGGGATATCCTGATTCCCAACGGGGTTTAGGGTTTAGGGTTTAGGGTTTAGGGTTTAGGGTTTAGGGTCCCAGTACCCTCCGTCACACCTGAATGGTCTTTACTCTCCACGCGATTGTTGCCCTGAACCCTCACCAACTCTTGAGCGCGATGGCCAAAGGGTTTGACTGACTTGGGCCAGCATAGGGTCTAGTCGGGTCTGGGGTTTACAGGAGTTTAGGCTTTGCAGGGCAACAGGGCTTTCCTGCGCGAAGGCTTGTAGGGTTCAAGATTTAGTTCGAAACCGTTTAGGGGTTTGGGTAGGGAACACCCACCCCCCACCCCGCCCCCCCCCCCCCCCCCCCCCCCCCCCCCCCCCCCCCTCACCACCCTAACATCCCAAGGGCCTAAGTACCTTGCTGGTGGGCGTCTGCATGTTTCAAGGGTCCCCGACATGTCCAGTGTTGGCGCACACGTACTCCTAAAGGGATGGGGGTTCGTGGGGGGTCGGAACCTAGGGAAGCTTAGGAAACCTTAGGGCATAGTGGCGAATATTACCCTAAACCCCAAACCCTAAACCCTAAAACCTAAACCCCAAACGCCAAACCCTAAACCCTAAACCCCGAACCTACACCCTGAACCCTAAACCCTAAACCCTCCCTTGAGGACCCTTGAATCCTGGACCCCATGCTCTGCCTCGTCTTTGGCTGTCTTCAGCTGAGCCTCCAAACTCCAATTCGTGGGTTGCGCGTTTCGGCGAGACGTCTTCCGGGGTTTAGGGTTTAGGGTTTAGGGTTTAGGGAGTAGGGTTTAGGGGATAGGGCTATATCGAGCTCTCAGGGCTTTGGGCATGGAGGGTCTCCCCCCCCCCCCCCCCCCCCTCCGTTCTCCGACATAACTCATGTGAATCTGGGAAACCTGCCATCAAGGTTTGCAAGTAAGGGCCTGCCTTGGCTGAGTCCAGCGACGCCGAATGCTCTTGCTCCTTCGCCACCGCCTGCAGTCTTATTCGAGGATGAGTACCCTTAAGCCAAAACTCCCTCAAATCCTAAAGCCCCAGACAGGGTAAGAGTTTTCTGTTTTTTTCTACCTCACAACCCCAACAAGCATAAGCCCAGCGAAGCCTGGCAACGCCGACACGAGGCAAACAGCGTGTTCTGTTGCCAAGCCGTAAAACCCTCAACCCTAATCCTGAAACCCTAAACCCCAAGCCCTAAACCCTGATACCTCGAGGATAGCCACGTTCTGGGAAGCCACCGGGCGGCTTTAATGAGTGTTTGGGGACCCAAAGTAGCCAGGGTTTAGGGTTTAGGGTTTAGGGTTTAGAGTTTAGGGTTTAGTTTCCCAGCACCCTGCAGGACGCCTGAACGGTCGTGACTTTTCATACTACTATTGCCCTGAACCCTCACCTACAGCCCGATGGCCCAACGGCTTGACTGATTTGGAGCTTTCCTACCAGTAGTAGGGGATAGGATTCGGGCGACCCTTGGGGATATAGACCCTCTGAATAAGGTCCCTTGTTAAGAGAGCCAGAAGAGGGTTCAGAAGGGGTTCCCTTTTAAGGGTCCCCCCTTATCCCGCCTAGGAAGTAGAGGGTCTATTCGGGTCTAGGGCTTATGGGAGTGTAGGCTTCGGAGGGCTTTTGGGCTTTCCAATCCCTACGCAGAGGTTTAGGGTTCAGCATTTGGCTCTGAACCGTACATTGCTTAGGGTAGGAGAACCCCCCTATATCCCAACGGCCTAAGTAGAATAGGGTACCTGGCTGGAGGTCTGCATGTTTCAACGGTCCCCCCGACATGTCGAGTCTAGGCGCACGCGTACGCCTTGCGGGTTTGGGGTCTAAGTAGGGCTCTTGCCTAAGGACCAAATGAAGCCCTCAATTTCGGGGGGTCTTTTTGCCTATGCTACTCTCATTCCTATTAAGGACCCTAAACCCTAAACCCTATAAACCCTAAACCCTAAACCCTGAGCCCCCAAGGTTAAGGTCACTTGTCCCAGGCCCGTGTTCCGCCTCGTCTTTGGCTGTCTGCAGCTGAGCCTCCAGACTCCAAGTCGTGGGTTGTGCGAGCGCTGTGGGTTTAGGGTTTAGGGTTTAGGGTTTAGGGTTTAGGGTTTAGGGTTTAGGGTTTAAGGTTTCGGGTTTAGGGTGTAGGTTTTAGGGTTTGTAAGGTTTTGGGGTTGGGCTATACGGAGCTCTCAGGACTTTGGGGTCTGGACTCCAAAAGTTCCCACACAACTCATTGAGCCCCTGACTAAGCTACTGTCGTATAAGGATTAGGCAGGGGACTATATAGGGGATCCTGTTGCAGGACTGTATAGGGGGTTTCCTTTTTTGGGGATGCTAGTAACTTAGTCCCAGGGCTCAATGGAATCTGGAAACCTGTCATCACGCGTCTACTGTGGTGCCCTATAGGCTCTTCTCTATCCTGCTTCACTCTTAGAAAACCCTGAACCAGGGAATCTGGGAAACCTGTCTGTAAACCTGAACCCAAATGCCGCACATCTTTTTTTGCCGCACATCTTCTTCTCTTGCAAGTGCCAAAGGCTTCAATGCACGGGGCTGCCGAGGGTTTTGGGCCCTTCGGCGTGATTGACTAGAGCTGAGAGAGCCTCCGGCGCTCGCCGGTGCCACGTTCGAGCCGTCAGCATCCGACAGCAAACGCACAAATCTCAGCATCACACCTAGATTGCAGCGGGCAAGCTTCCCGGAACTACGAACAGGCCGTTGTCAGGGCTGTATCCAAGTCCTGCCGGGCCCCGGCCGTCTCCAGCAAACGCACGACTTCAAGATGGCCTCGGCCAGCTGCCTGCATAAGAGCTGTAAGCCCAATGTTGTTGGCCAAGTCCTTGTCGGCGCCGGCCTCTAAGAGCAAACGTGCGACTTCTACATGTCCATGGTTAGATGCCATCATCAGAGCTGTATCACCGAACTTGTCCGCCAAATCCTTTCCAGCATCGGCCCTTACGAGCAAACGCACGACCTCAACATGGCCATAGCGAGCCGACATCATGAAAGCTGTGTAGCCCGTCTTGTTGGCCACGCAATGGTTGGCGCCGGCCTCGACCAGCAAGCGTGTAACTTCGACATGCCCATGTTTAGATGCCTCCATCAGAGCTGTATCTCCGAACTCGTCCACCAAGTCTTTGCTGGCGCCGGACCCTAACAGAAAACGCACGATCTCAACATAGCCGTGGCGAGCTGACAGCATGAGAGCCGTGCACCCGTTTCTGTTGGCCAAGTCCTTGTCGGCGCCGGCCTCTACCAGCAAGCGCGCAACTTCGCCATGTCTGCATTGCGCTGCCATCATCAGAGCTGTATAGCAGAATCTGTCCGCCAAGTCCTTGCTGGCGCCGGCCTCTAAGAGCAAACGGGCAACTTTAGCATGGCCTCCCCGAGCCGAAGCCATGAGAGCCGTGTACCCGTTTCTGTTGGCCAAGTCCTGGTAGGGTTTTTTTGGCTCGTCTACCTTCCACTATAGGCGGTTTCTGGTCGTAGTTAGAGGCTTTAGTTCGTAGACCTTATCATCGGAGTTCTGGTAAACCCTAAACCCTAAACCCTAAACCCTAAACCCTAAACCCTAAAGTTATAGGGTATAGGGCCCCAATTTTAGGGTTCATTTGGTCCCCAAGGATCCTTGTCGGCCCCGGCCTCCAGCAGCATGCGCGTGACGTCGGCGCGGCCGTTTTGAGACGCCGCAGTTAGAGCCTGAGTTGCTGAGTTCATAGGGCCCCCAAAAAAGTGTACACTTTCCCTAAACCCTAAACCCTCAACCCTAAACCCTAAACCCCTAAAACCCTAAACCCTAAACCCCTAAAACCCTAAACCCTAAACCCTAAACCCTAACACCCTAACACCCTAACACCCTAAACCCTGAAACCCTAAACCCAAAAAGTGTAAAATGTACTCACTCAGCTACTAAGGAGCTGTTAAGCCCTCCGCCGTGGTTTCAGCCAGGTCCATGTTGGCACCTCCATCCTTTGGGGGCGCAAGGAATCCTAAAAGGGTTTAGGGTTTAGGGTTAGGGTTTAGGGTTTAGGGTTTAGGGTTTAGGGTTTAGGGTTTAGGGTTTAGGGTTTAGGGTTTAGGGTTTAGGGTTTAGGGTTTAGGGTTTAGGGTTTAGGGTTTAGGGTTCATATGCCCCAACTAGTATGAAGGGCATATGACCCCAAGTCTTCAGGTTCATTTGGTCCCCAAGGATCCAGCAGCAGAGCGACAACTTCAACGTGGCCTGCCAAAGACGCAAGCACCAGAGCTGCAGAGCCGTTCGCGCCAAGCAAGTTCGGGTCATGGGGGAGCTGCAGCATAGCCTCCACCTGTAGGGTTTGGGGTCGGTTTAGGGTTTAGGGTTTAGGGTTTAGGGCTTAGGGTGATTGTTCTTCTGTTGGGGGGGGGGGGGGTCAGTGCAGCTCAGAGCCTGTTGTTTGGGAGGCACGGGTCGCATGATAGGCAGGTTACATACATGCCATTACATGCTTTACGGTGTCCATGGGCAACTTGTATAAGTCGGTTCTGGATCTTCCCTAAACCCTAAACCCTATAAACCCTTAACCCTAAACCCTAAACCCTTAACCCTAAACCATTGTGGTTCAGGCAGCGACACTCCTAAGGAAATCCGCCTCAGTCACGCAGGGCCCTTCAGACAGCGGCTGGGAACTCGTCCACTTGTGCGGGACGAGTTCACAGATGCCGTGACACTATAGCGACATACATATATATATATACATATATCTATGTATATATATATACACATATAGATGTGTTTTTATATGCAAATATATTTTGTTTATCTAATAAATATTCATGTGCAATTGTGTCATTCTACCTTCTTCATGGAAGCTCACGCCTCGGCTGCGGATCCCCGTCGGGCGGCGGCTGTGAACTTGTCCACCTCTGTTCGCGATACATCGGCGAAGGCCAGCAACACCAGTTGAAGGTCCATGGGGGAGCCCAGCTCTGCTGCATCCTCCAGCTCACGGCCGTTGAGAAGGAGCCTCTGCCGGAAGCGCGGGGGTACGCCTGGCAGCTTGCTCAAGCGCCGCTTCAAGGACCTCACGTCGCGCACCTCCCCGACGGCTATGCTCGCCACCTCCTCCCCTGAGAGCTTCGTTACGCGCAGCATCCCCTCATCGAGCTGCATGGATGCTGAGGCCCCTGCAAACGTCATTCGCTCTGGGCTGACAGGACAACTCTTAGAGCAGGCTGTCTATGTGTGGGCACCGCTGTATTGTTGACAAGTTTGCCTGTCCAACAAAGCCAACTGCGAGGTTCTGAAACCCATCCTGAAGCCAAGAGATCGTGGCAGCCTCCGAAACAAAAAACACCCTCGAACGCATCCTAAGGCCTCAGTTCTTTTCAGGGGATCATTCGGCATTGTCGGGGGCTTACCTACGACCTGAAGCCCCCAAGCGCCCTCCATCAGCCCTGAATTGCCCGGGCTTTTCGGGTTTAGGGTTTATAGGGTCTTGAGGACCCGCAAACCCGAATAAAGGGTAGACGTGATTTGCGGGGGTTTGGGAATCCCGAAAATTGCAAAAAGGGGGGGCGCCTGCCTTGGCCGCCTCCAGCGACGCCGAGAGCTCCTGCTCCTTCGCCGCCGCCTGCAGCTTAGGGCTTAGGGTTTTGGGTTAGAGTTTAGGGTTTAGGGTTTAGGGTTCAGGGTTCAGGGTTCAGGGTTTAGGGTTTAGGGTTTAGGGTCTAGGGTCTAGGGTCTAGGGTTTAGATTTAGGGACCCCATGAGGCCTCAAACCACACGAATGGCCTAAACACTGTGAAACTAAACCTCAAAGTCCAAGACAGAAGCCCAAAAGGAGCCCAAATCCCACGCGTTTCCTGTCGCCTGAACTGTACAAAGCCGCATAAACAATTTCACCTCCCCAAGATTGATGCAACAGCCACCCCTCAGTTCACTACTTCAACGAACCAACCGGCTTCATCAGCCTGTCCACTCCCTAGACCCTAAACCCTAAACCCTAAACCCTGAACCCTGAACCCTGATTCCTAAACCCTGAACCCTGAACCCTAAACCCTAAACCCTAAACCCTAAACCGAATCCTAACCCTAAACCCTAAACCCTAAACCCTAAACCCCGAATCCTAAACCCCGAATCCTAAACCGAATCCTTGAGAGGAGAGGAAGAAGAGGAACGCCATGCTCAAGAAGCACTGGGATGCCACAGCGCAGACGAGCATGCCCGCGGTTTAGGGTTTAGGGTTTAGGGTTCAGGGTTTAGGGTTTAGGGTTTAGGGTTCTTTTGGGGAGCAAGTCAACCGTCTCGAACCCTGAAACGAGAGTCTCTTCCCGCAGCTGCTGCCGTATCTTGCGCTCCGAGGCTTCGTGCGCAGGGTTTAGGGTTTAGGGTTCAGGGTTTAGGGTTTAGGGCCTGAAGGGTCTAAGACAACTGCAAACTCTCAGTAAACTCCAGAAAGTTGGAACATGGCTTGAGGATGATGAGAGCTGGCATTCCCTTTTTTATTACACCTTCTAGGGTATGGGGAGAAGGATGTTCCAACTTTTTGGAGTTTGCCGTATACATTTTCAGAATCCATTCAGGGCAGCTAGAACTCTGCAGCACCACGGCAGAAGGATTTGGTTTCAGGGCTTTCCTACCCGTATCACGTCTAGGGTTCGGGGTTTAGGTCCAGTTTGGGTTAGGGCTTCCTTATGCCAAGCTTTAGGGCTGAAAGGGTTCACTCAAATGGGGTTTGGTTCCGATCCCTTTTCCGCTGGAGGGTTCTTGAGGGCTTGTAGCTGCTTAGGGTAGGCAGCCCCCCCTCAGTTTTCAACGACCTATAGGGAACCTTTTTTGGGATGTTCCAAAGGAACCCCTCCTGACGAGGCACACCCCTACGCCTACGGGCTTTTAGGGATTGCACATGGCAGGTCCTATAAACAGGGTTCTACTAGTTTGGGGAAGATTAAGGGTACCCTTTTGGAGGTCCTAGACTGAGGATTCTACTATTTTGGGGGTGTATTAATATTATTAAGGGTACTCTAAACCCTAAACCCTGAAACCTGAACCCTGAACCCCCTTGGACCCAAGATCTGCCTCGTCCTGGGAAGTCTTCCGCTGAGCCTTGCAGGCTCCAAATCGTGTGGGTTTAGGGTTTAGGGTTTAGGGCTTGGGTTTAGGGCTGTGTTCAACGTCTTCAATGCTGTTGGGCTAGGTACGGCGTTCAGGACCTAAAAACTCGTGCTAGGGCGCATGCCTTTTCGCGTCTACTGTCGTGCCCTAATGTTCACTTCCCTTCAATAACACCCCCGGATTGGATCTCTCCGGCAAGGGGCCGAAAACTATCATTGCAGAGGGCTTGGGTTTTTGAAGGGGCTAACCCTAAACCCTAAACCGTTGTTATTTGGGAGGGCCTCCTTTTCAAAAGGGCTGGCTGCCCTCTTCTGGGTCTCTCCAGCGCCTCTTCTAAGCCCTCTTCCGGGCCCCCTTGTCGCCCTCGTAAGGCACTCACTACTACATTCTTTCTTGTTGACAGGTCTCTTGCGCCATTTTTGTTCGGGAATCTGCTCTTTGTTCTTTTTTTGGATAGATTCAAAATTGATTTCTATTCCTGATTGAGTTTGAGTACCCTTAAGACGGGAAAATGTTACCCCACTATGACAAAGCTTCGGCCTCTATCCTGCTCAATCCCTATAGGCCCTGTCTGACCCGGGAAGATGGGAATCTGGAAAAACATGTCTGCAAATTAGGGTTCAGGGTTTAGGGTTTATAGTTTGTAAGGTTTAGGGTTTAGGAACCCTAAACCCCCAAAGCCAAAACCCTGAAGCCTGGGCTAGGGTGTTGGGGAATCGGGGGGGTCGGAAATACTGACTCAGCAGCCTAAACCTCCCAGGATGGGCTACTCGGCCTTACAATCCTCATAATGAACCTTATAGTAGCCCATGCTGGTCCGAACTAGTCTTTCGGATGCCACTGACATAGTCGCAAAGACACCCCACCCCACCCCAGCCCCCCAGGGTACTTGGCAGTGCCACGCACCATTCTTGGCCCCTTTGCATGTGCCAAAGGCGTCAATGGGCGGGGCTGCCCAGGGCTCGCGCCCTTCCGGCGGGAATGCTTGGAGCTAGGATCGAGCCTCCGGCGCTTGCCGGTGCTCGATTTCGCCCTATTACCTGCCTTGTCTGCCAAGTCCTTCCTGGCGCCAGGCTCCACCAGCACGCGCGCGACTTCAAGATGGCCTTTGCGAGCTGACAGCAGGAGAGCCGTAAGCCCATTGTTGGCCAAGTCCTGGTCGTCGCCGGCCTCTACCAGCAAGCGTACAACTTCTACGTGTCCATTCTCAGATGCCATCATCAGAGCTGTATCACCGAACTTGTCTGCCAAGTCCTTTCCGGCATCGGCCCCTAGAAGGAAACGCACGACCTCAACATGGCTATAGCGAGCTGATAGCATGAGCGCTGTGCACCCGTTTCTGTTGGCCGCGTCCTTGTCGTCGCCGGCCTCTACCAGCAAGCGTACAACTTCTACGTGTCCATTCTCCGATGCTATCATCAAAGCTGTATCACCGAACTTGTCCGCCAAATCCTTGCCGGCATCGGCCCCCAAGAGCAAACGAACGACCTCAACATGGCCATGGCGAGCAGACAGCATGAAAGCTGTGAAGCCCGTCTTGTTGGACAAGACCTGGTTGGCACCCGCATCTACTAGCAAGCGTGCAACTTCGACATGTCCATATTTAGATGCCTCCATCAGAGCTGTATCCCCGAACTTGTCCGCCAAATCTTTGCTGGCGCCGGCCCGTAAGAGCAAATACACGATCTCAACGTGGCCATTGCGAGCTGACAGCATGAGAGCTGTGTACCCATTTCTGTTGGCCCAGTCCTTGTCCGCGCCGGCCTCCAGCAGCAACGGTGCAACCAGGACACATCCACTTCTAGATGCCGTCATCAGAGCTGTATACCCGAAGTTGCTCAACAAGTCCTTGCTTGCACCAGCCTGCAAGAGCAAACGCACGACTTCAACATGGTTTCCGCGAGCTGACTGAGATGATGCAGTCAGAGCTGCGTAACCCCTCGAACATGGCTTCTGCCAGGTCCGGGTCGGCACCTCCATCCAGAAGCAGAGAGACAACTTCAACGTGGCCTCCCCGAGATGCACGCACCCGAGCTGTAGAGCCCTTCGCGCCGACCAGGTTCGGGTCTTGCGGGAGCTGCAACATAGCCTCCACCTGATTGCTCTTCTGGCGAGTCTACGAGCTACTGTCTGGGAGGCACGGGTCGAACAGGCAGGTTACAGGCTGCAGAGCCCCGTCGGGCGGCGGCTGTGAACTTGTCCACCTCTGCTTGTGAAACATCGGCGAAGGGCAGCAGCACCGTGCCGGCATGCCTGGCAGCTGGCTCAAGCGCCGCTTCAAGGACCTCACGTCGCGCACCTCACAGCGATGCTCGCCATTCCTGACTATCGGCAAGAACCCTGTAAACCCTGCATGCACAAACCCTCGGCCCTGAATCGCCCAAACTGAATCGCCCAAACCCTAAACCCTAAACCCTAAACCCTAAACCATAAACCCACTGAATCACAAACTCTCCCCCCACACGCCCCCACAGACCCCCGCACCCAGCGCACCGCCCGTTGGTTAGTAGGGAATGAGGGAATGAGGGAATGAGGCACGCTATATCCCCTTATATATAGCCTTGACGGGATTATTTAGGGTTTAGGGTTTAGGGTTCAGGGTTCAGGGTTTAGGGTTTAGGGTTTAGGGTTTAGGGTTTAGTTCCCTACTAACCAACAGTAAGCTTACGGGTGGGCCTCCAGGGAAGCCACGCGCGCTTCCGACTCGGCAAGCTTTGCCCCAAGTGACTCAGCCACCTGGTTTAGGGTTTAGGGTTTAGGGTCTAGGGTTTAGGGTTTAGGGTTTAGGGTTTAGGGTTTAGGGTTTAGGGTTTAGGGTTTAGGGTTTAGGGTTTAGGGTTTAGGGTTTAGGTACTCCAGAAAGTTGGAACATTGTCTCAGGAGGATTAGAGCTTTGGTTCCCTGTAGTATACCTTTGGGGGTATTGGGAGGAGGAAGTTCCAACTTTTTGGGGTTTGCCGTATATACTTATACTTCCAGGGACCAAATTCTTGTGACCTTTAAGAGTTCTAGGAATCTAAATCGTAGGTTCCTGGAAGTTGGGCGTCTCAGGGTTC